CATCACGCTCCTCCATTTTCATAACAAAGCCAATTAATGCAGCACCATGCATACCGGATGCTTGCGTTGCCGGGGACCGGTGTGCGTCGACGGCAAGAAAATCACGTGAACTACGGGTCTGTTCATCCTTTGCCTCGCGATGGCTTTGCCATGCTCTTGTTGGGGGACATCGTCAAGTTACTTCGACACAACTGGTCAACAATGCTGTACAAGGTTTTGATTGGCCTATTATATCCAATCACAGCTATGCATTTTTCAATGGCTGACCAATTTGAGTCGGTTTTGGTCGAAGCTTTTCAGCATCGGCTCAATAATAGTCACTCACAGTACGGATAATTTTTGTACCACAGTGGGTTCAAAACAAGTTTGCGACGGTTTTGGAAGTCTCCCACTGGTGTATGTACGGAGGGCAGGAATGCAATAACACGGCCAAATGCGATCGTGTTGCTTGCTTCATCATACACACTGAAATTTGCCAAATTGTATGGTGCTTTCAAGCTAAATTTGGTATTTTCGGTAGGTTCGTCAAATCTACCTGAAATCGTCGAGTTTTCATTTTACTTGAACTAAATCTATTAATACTCACTGTCTGTCCGATGCAATGTTGAACTCTTTGTGAAATGGAGAAGCTTGGCAAAGGCACCGAATACACCCACCTAAAATATGATTGGTCGAAAGGTGTTTTTCTCGAAAATTTCATTGGCTACTTCGGTCCGTCGATTTTGCTTCGTCGATTCGATTGGCCAATTTGAAATCGAATTACCACTATTTTGCAAACTCTTGATGCCGCGTGGCAAGGCCTTTCAAAAAATAATCTAAAAAGAATACTATTTAATAATTTAAATAAAATAAATTATTCTTTGTAATTTAGCCCTAGAGTAAATAATCTACAATTGTTCCGTATATAAATAAATTGTTCATGTTTTTGAAGCCGTAAAATAAATGATTCATTTCGACCAAATTATTCGTAGGCATTTTCAATGATCTTATTGGACCAATTGCTAGGATGACAAGCTTCCGATTGGCCCCAAGTATTGAACGGCAAAAGTTAACTACATGTATTGTGGATTCAGTACATATTTCTAGACCCCATCGAATCACGAATCGACGATATTGGCTAATTTGGCTCTTACAGAAAGGACAAGTATATTCAACCAATCAGAACTCCAGCATGATTCAATATTGATCTGTCGTTAGACAACTTTGAACACCCTCCGTGGTAAGCCTTTTGCCGAGCTTATTCCTTCATTGCCGCTTTATTGTCCCAACGTCAAGAATGTATGCGCGATTCTTCTCTGTACGAAGGGGGCCATTGTTGTTGGTCTCAAATGTGAACTATGCAGAAAATCGTGCAAGGTACTTCGAAGTACTACGTAGTCAGTACTGTGTATATAGTAACTAGTTATAGCAAGTTCATTTCATTCCGATAACAACATACAGTACATTCATTCCGATAACAGCATACAGTACCCATTGGATATGTTTAAGTTGTTTTGAATTATTCACATAATTCATTCGCTCCGGACGCAGGGGAATAAATAATTCAACAGGGAAGGAGGCACAAATAAATAACTCAGTCCATAAGTCCTTGTGAAATGAATGATCTTGTTTTCTCTTGAGCACAAATAAGTAAAAAATACTTCGAAGTAGTATTTTCAATGGCCTTGCCGTGTGGTGCAAACTGCATCATAACGTCGTTAATCATATCGTCATGATCTTACACTAAGGTGTACCCTGGAGTACTTAGTGTTAATAACGTTAGTAGTACTTGGTATTTAACCTGGCAAAGTGGATGAATCTACTTAATAAAGGGACAAGCGTCGTCGGTCCTACCGACCCGACAGGTCGTTGTGCAAACAGATGATTCTCGCCCAACGGATCAATGTTACTCGAGCAACCACCCTGTCTGTGCTCATTTACCTTCACCTCATTCGTGTATCTCCTTCAACCTTTTTGCATGTATGTATATATCGACGAGTAAATTCTTGATTAAACATGAATATTCATTCGTCCACACAACCATCGGCCAGGTTGCTCTACTCGTCTGGGTTTTCCGCTCGAAGTCTCGCCTCCTCCAACGCTTCGGCAGTGGCACACATGGTTTGAATCCACATGTATAGCACGAGGACGGACGGCGCGGGCAGCTCGACGTCGTCGGCGCCAACGTCCCCCAGCAGCTCCTTGGCTAACGCGACAGCCGCCAGGGGCACCGACCGGACATGGAACGCCTGAACTCTTGGGACCAAGTGGGCATTGGTCAGCCACGGGCGGAGTTTATCCCACGAAGGCATCAACGTAGCCGCATTCACAACGTCCTTCTTGGCGAACCCATCGTCGCCGAGAAGCACGAGACCCGCGGCCAGCGTCTTGAGCACCGGCGCTTTGAACGGAATGAGCGACGTTCCGACGATGTGCAGCGCGTCCAGGTGCGACGTGAGCAGGTCGTGGACGAGTTGCGCTTTCACCGTGGCTTCTTCAACCGCCTTGCGCGCTTCGTCGTCGATGCCCTCGACGGCGTTGGCCACGCGCGTCTCATTGGCGGCGATGGTTTCCTTGATCGCATCGAGTTTGCCTTTGACGTCTCGCTCGTCCACCTTGCGCAGTTCGATTTGGGCCACAGCCGTTCGCTTTTCGTACTGTTCGACAGCTTCCCCCAATGTGGCTGTCCACTTAAGGAACTCGCGGATGTTGTCGCCGTTGAACGGCCGCGCGGCGCCCAGCGTGTCAACGGCCACAATGAGCCAGCTCTCGACCGTGGGCATGGCATCTCCTTGCGCCACGTCATCGTGCAAATAGCTGTTGAGTTTGATGCCTTTAACTAAGTACGCCCCCATTCGTGGGATGCCAAAGTACTTGATGCGCGGCTCCCGAATCACGTTTTCCACGTGGACAAAAGGGGGGATTGCGGGGGGAACGGGGTTTCCCTCGGAGTCGACCGCCGGAGGGTCCAACTCGACTTCCTTGAGCACGTCGAATGTAAACCCCGTCTCTTCGCCGACAAACTTGTCCACAACCGCCTTGGACGAGTCCGTGGCTGCAAACCACTGGATAAAGTTCGCGCCGTCCGCGTCGGTCACGCGGCGCCCCAGGTAGCAAGCTTCCGCATGAGTGGCCGCCGCCAACTTGCTCATGGCCACCCGACACAGCACGTCCCAGTCGTTGGCGCTCAGAATCTCTTCCCGGGTCGCGTTGTCGGCCAAGATGGCTTCGTTCAAAGCATCCTTGACCTTTTGTGCGGCGGCTAGCTTCCTCGCCACCTCTTCAGCCGCGAAATCCGCCTCCGTTTTGCGAACGCGCGACTGGATCATGCGTTCGGTGCGTTGCCGTTCGTTCGAGACATACTTTAGGAGATAGTTGCCCACGTATTCGATGGGGTCTTCGGGCTGATCCAGTGCCAGCTGAGCCAGGGCGTCAGCTAATGGCGCGCCCACCGTGTTCTTAAGGTACACGAAGTCGTACCCGTGGTTGCGATCCGTCATGTTACCGCGACCGTTGGCGACGAAAATGGTGAAACGGCGCGAGTGCAATAAACTATTCGTAGTATGTACTATTAGTACTACTAATTTACTAGTACACGATTGAACTACGGATTATGAATGGCATAATAAATCACTTCTCATTTGCGGAGGATGAACGAACAACGGGAAGCAGCCAACGCTGCTGTCTTGGCGAGAGTGGGGCCATGGGTAGGAAAGCGCCTGCTTCCTGGAAGTCGAAGCGACGATACCACCGCGGACGAGAGTGCGGAGACTGTTTATGAGGGTGATATCAACCACATTCCGTACAGAGTACGTCCTTCTCGTCTCTTTGACCTCATATCGCCGACTGACTTCGACATGTACAGATCATCACTGGGGGTTATACGGAAGACTTGCAACTTACGCGTCTCAATGTTAGCATTGATTCGAACCGTGTAGTCACAAGAGTATGGATTGGCTAGGCCGAGCAGCTCATTCAGCCACTGTAATCTCGGGTTTTCAATCCTATTGTATCGTTCCAGTTGCAACGCAGTGTGCTCCTTTCGATGTGGAAGTTAGACCTGGAACGGACTGTCCCTTGTCTCTCCGCTTTCTTTGGTTGGTGAAGGACAAAGCACAAGATGATGTATCATGGCGATTCACTAGTGAGCAATTGACCTAGGAGGTTCGTCCACCGCTGACAACTCGTTCCAATTGCACTATGAGACTCCAACTGCTTCTATTGCCAGATAGTATTGAGTCAACAAATCAGTGAAGCCGCGCTCTTCATCACTGCGGCGTGAGACACAGCCCTCTCATTATCCCGTCGTACAGTGTCGCAGAGGATGGGAGGAAGCGTCGTTGTCTTTATGGTCGATTGTGAACCGAATGGGTATGTCACGTCGAGCTCTATGTTCTGCTTGGACGGACTGTGTAACGATGTCTCCGGAGTTTACTACGTTTTGACTGCTCAATCGTGCACTACACTACCGTAGGTACTTTAGCCCTTACTCATATGTGAGACTTTCAAGACTAAAAGGTACGCAATAAGTACAGTATACTACAGCTGTACCTTAGATAGATAGAAAACGATGCTCGAAGTTGCTATTGATGGTAACCACCTGTACATCGAGAGCATGTAGAATCATGTGGCTGTGGCGGCATGCGCTCGCGTTTTCTGTTCGAGGGTGGTCGTGGCATATAACATGCAAAAGGAAGGTGCTGCCAGGCGACTCCCGTGGAGGACTGCAGGTGAGAAACATGCAGAAAAGGCGGGATGGATCATCCTTGATGGAACGAGCTGCGGCGGACGGAGTGCTTCGAGCTCACAACTACAGCCGCTCCCCCAGTGTAGGTATACTCACGCCAGTGGAAGGCAACGCATCGACACACCAATTGCTGTCAGATCGCTCTACATTGTACTCAAGAAATGGGCAGGCTACTGCTCCAGGTCGTGCCATGTTGAAGTGCTTGGACTCTGTATCCGGATTACCGGATAAATGAACCAATCCCACGTCGACAAGGTCGTTGATTGGTTGCAAAATATAGGAGGAGGCGTTGGATCACAGCATCAGCGCATTTCCCCCATCATGGCCGACGAACACGACGTGGCGAGCACCTCCGCGGCCAAGAAGGCCTCGAAGAAGCAGAAGAAGCAACAGAAGCAGGAAAATGCCGACGTAGAAGCAGCAGCCCCGGTTACGGAACAGTCTGTGGCTGCGGATGAGACCGCTGTCAAGTCCAAAAAGGCTTCGAAGAAATCGAAACAGCAAAAGCAGGAAGCTGTCGACGTAGAAGCAGCAACAGCCCCGGTTGCGGACCAGACTGTGACCACGGTTGAGCCCACGAAGGCTTCGAAGAAGTCGAAAAAGCAAAAGAAAGAAGCTGCTGATGTCGAAGTCCCCGTGCAGGTTGTCGAACTCGTGCCGGAGCTGGCGTCATTCTTTTCAACCAGTTCCCAGGTGTTTGGCAAGCGCATTGAGCCAGGTAAGAACAACTCGTCCGTCTTTCGCATCAAAGCTGCCAACCAACCAACTGATCATATGCGACCTTGGTTTAGAAATCAAACTCCCCGTGGTGGTCGCGCCGGGTGCTGACGATTCTACCAGCGAACAACTCGCCGCCGTCGTCGCCTCAACCTCCACACCTGCGCCACCTCAATCCAGGGACGCGGTGGCCAAGAAGGTCAAGAAACCCAAACACAAAAAGGTCAAGGCATTGGCGGAAGCTGCCGCCGCCGCCGCAGCCAGTGGTGGCGATGGCGCCGACTTGGCGACCAAGCCCTCCACAGAGACCCCCGTCGTAGTAGCCGCTTCCTCCCCCACGATCCAAGAAGAAGAAGAAGAAGAGAACGCCGTCGATGTAAAGGACCCGCGCACCATCTTTGTCGGCAACGTATCCCTGGAAGCCACCGCCGCCGACGTGAAAAAGTTTTTTGCTTCGTGCGGCAAAGTCGAGTCAGTTCGGCTTCGGTCGGTGCCCGTGGCCGGCTGCAAAGTCGACCAAAACGGCAAACAAAACCTCGTGAAAAAGGTGTGCGTAAACAAGAAGCTGTTTGTCCAAGGCCGAGACTCGTGCAATGCGTACGTTGTGTTTGCTACCGACGCCAGTGTCGACGCTGCGTTGAAGTTGAATGGCTCGGTAAGAAAGTTCGACTAGGTCTACTACTACTACTACTAGGACGAGTACTACTAGTAGTACAATTGCAACGTCGTCCTCCATCTACCTCCCTATGCATGATATTTTCATATGAGCCTTTTGATTATTTTTGCCAACAAATGTGGACGATTATATTGTGCTTTCGAGTGAAATTTCGTGTTGTGGCGTGGTTTCTCGAGTTTTTTTAAATCGATTTGATTGGCTACTTCAGACGAGCTCAAAATTATTAACCAATCAAAACCTTCTCAATGAAATTTAACCAATCAGATCGATTGTGGATCGGTTTGGTCGGCGCGATTCGATTGCACCCCCTCCCCAAATTTGTATCAAATCGACAATAGTGCTGATTGATATATTCACCAAATCTATCGTCGATTGATTTGGTGATGAACAGTGTCACACACTCCAGTTTCAGTCACATTGCATGCAAAAATGTTCAAGCAGCGTGGAAGCGAGAATGTGATTGGCCAGTTGATTCGTATTGTGCGATATGATTGGTCGAACAATATCGATGGCCGAGTTCCTATATTATGATTGGTCGAACAATATCGATTTCATCGAATACTTGACGATGTGTTTATATATTTTGGCAGGAATTTTTCAACAAAGTTCTCCGCGTGGACCGAAAAGCAGTGTCCATGGACGCCAAGCGCTCGGTGTTTGTGGGCAATTTAGCATTCAACGCAACCGACGACGACGTGCGCAGCCATTTTGACAAAATTCTGCGGGAAGACGCCGACACCGCCGCCGTCGAATCGGTGCGCATCATCCGCGACAAGGTGACGCATCTCGGCAAAGGGTTTGGTTACGTCTTGTTCAAGGTATGTGACACCGTCGACGTCGTAGTAGTACTACTAGTAGTAGTACTAGTTCGCCCATTCAATTGGGGTGGTTTTTCTATGGTTGGCCGTTCAACTCTGCAGTGATTGTTTGAGACGAATAATGTCAAGTATTGTCGAGAGTTGGTGGCGCTGGTCATTGGGTTGTTATATTGGGTGGTGGTCGTATATATTATGATGAAGACTAGTTATGACCTTTGTGCGATGGAATTAAAGTTGAATTAAAATGATCGAAATCGTCCAATTGTATCATTGATTTGTAATATCTATATTATTATTTATGTTCTAATATCGTGATGCAGTCATCCACGACACATTTGTGTGGTACAGTATGTACTTAGTACATTTGGCGGACTAGTCGTAGTAGTTGCAACCAACCTTTGGTGGCTTGGAATGTTGTTTATGCTTGTGTATTTCATATTGGGTCATTTTTGACATATATATATAGTCCTTTTCCCCCAAAATTGGACGTTTGTGCAAATTCGCCAAATCTGTCGGTAGATCGGTATTTTGTACTGAATTGTAGATGTACAGAAGAATTGTCATGTGGTCATACACTCATTCAATGTTGTGGATATGAGTGACTCGTTTGCATATTTTGTAGTGTCGATTCCTTTGGCATGTCGCTCCTATTTCGAATCAACGACACAACAACATATATATAATGTATATATATTTATGTAGGACTTGAGCACGGCCGCCAAGGCACTGTCGCTGCATGGTTCCAAGATGGGCAAGCGCGAACTGCGCGTGACCGTGTGTGGCAAACGCTTTAAAAATACCCACGGGGACAAGAAGCCCGAGCTCAAATTCGAAGGCCGCCGAGCGCACCCCGGGGCCCAACTGCGGCTGCTCAAGAAGCGGAAGGCGGAGGAACCTGCGGACGGGGCGCCCCCGTCCAAGCTGCCGGGCCAGAAGAAGCCTGGGTTTATTGTGCGGGGAGAGAAGAAGCCATTTGATAAGACCAACAAGGCGCCATTTGATAAGACCAGCAAAAAGCCATTTGATAAGACCAACAAAAAGCCTTTTGACAAGAAGAAGGGCGGAGGAGCCAAGGGCTTCAACTCGTTCAAGAAGGGCGGGTACCAGGACAAGAGCAAGGCGTCCAAAGCCCCACGTGCGAAAATCCAAAAGCCAAAGCACGCTGCCCGCAAGGCCCGGCAAGCGTTGGAAAAGGCGTAAATGGGAACAAATCAAAACGTGTGCTGAATATTAAGTTATTCGTGCGACTGCATTTCATACAAAGCTTACTACTGTACTACGTTACAACGGATACACTGGTAGAAGTATTCTGTGAGCCACATTTAGCATCTACATATACATATTGCTGCTATGCCAGTCCTAGATCACAAAAGTACACTTGAGAATCAAATGTACTACGTAGTGAGATTTGAACTCCCAGAACTTTTGCCCTAGTTCGATCAATGGTATATTTGAATTCAGGAGTTTAACGTGTAGTCCGTGAGTGGTTTTATTTTACATGAGAGGTAGTTCCATTTATTATAAGGTTACTATAATAATATTCTACATACATTATTATAATATTACGTTTGTGTTTATGAATCGTTGTTTGCGAACGTAGAGTTGCTCAGTTGGACCTTCAAGACTCTGCATGCAGAATATGTGGTTGGTTATGAAGACATTGTGAAAAACAGCATCAAAATCGGCTCACTGGAAAATTTCTTTGCATTCGACTCGCCCAAACAAACAGTACGTCAGGATAGCGATAACTAACGAAGAAGTTGTACGTACTACTCCGGAGTACCTACCTACTGTACTGTACAACCAGTACTTACTTGGTAGTAGTACTAAATAGTACTACTCCGGAGTACTACTAACGTTACATAACAAATTTCCGAAAGAAATATATAAAATCTAGCAAAACATCCTTACGAGAAATCCAAACAATGATTACGACAGTAGAAGTATTAATATTAATAGTAGTATAATACTAACTGTAAGTACATAATAATACTATTAATATTAATTCGTACTATTAGTATTACTAGTATTACGTACTGCCTCACGATTAAAAGTGCGTCGAGTCCAATAGAAATCAAATGTCACAACGAGATATGTAAGACCACCGCCTTCTTGACCAAAACCCCGAGTGTAGTAGTTACTAGTAAACACCAACACCGCCCGAATATTGTTACATGTATGTACGATCACCTACTACTAGTACTACTACTCATGTTGGGCTTGCTGCTTTCGCAAGTTGGCCAGCTCCTTCTTCAACGCCGCCAACCTGGCACTGCTCACTCCAAACCCGTCCATCTCGGCTTCCGCCGCTTGAATCTGTTGCGCCAACGACTTTGTTTCGACTGGAATCAATACATTTGAGTCTTCGGTGGCACGTCGTTTTGTGGACGGAGGTGACTCATCGTCGTTCTGCCACGTGGCAGACGGGGATTGGTCCAGCGGTCGCTTGGCAGGTGCTCTGGTCAAGTCAACTGGTTTCTCTGCTAGTTGTTGGAGGTGCTGCAGTACAGCATGGGGACCTCGCTGGACGACGCTGGATCGGATGTGTCGCTGGGGGTTGCCTTGGATGTTTACCAACCGGAGGTGCACAGTTTGACCCAGCTCGATGGGAATCTACAATTAAACTTTTAAAAAACATATCCTCCCTCGACATATATATATAATATATATGTGTTAAGGAGAACATTATTGGATATATATATATATATATGTTGAGAACGTTATTGTATATACATATGTTGAAAACGTTATTGTACATATATATATATGTTGAGAACGTTATTGCATATATATATAAATATGTTGAGAACGTTATTGTACTGTACATTTATATATATATATATATATGTGGAGAACGTTATTGGATATATATTTTAAAGCACGAGAGTAGGTCGTCAGTCTTACATGTCGGAGCGCGTTGTTTTCGACATTCAAACTCGTCAACGACGGCGCGACATAAATCGTTCCCAGGGACTCCAACTACACAAAAATAATATAAATATATATCAATCCTTTTAGTAGTAATTCGTCATACGACCCCTGAAAAGGTCGGATACGTTCGTTTTTTTGGATCTATAATGTCTAGTACTAGTATTATTAACGTACGCGGTTGTTCGAGGCCAGACACGACGTCAACTTGGTCATGTTGGCCCAGTGGACGCCATCCAACGCTGTGATTTGATTGAACGACACGAGCAGCGTGTCCAACAGTTGAAATGCCGACAGACCCGGAGGTACCTTGGTCAAGTTGTTGTTGCGGACGTCCAGTTCCTAAGCAACTACTTGTAAAACACACTATTTACGACCTAAACTAGCGTTCGACACGCTTGGGAAACCTCACCACCAGCGTGTATCGAATGGGGGCTGTGATGTGGACGACGGCAGCAAGGGCGGCGTCTGTCAGGCGGTTCTTCTGCACGCGCAGAGCTTGCAGCCGCGGCAACTCGGCAATGTCCACGGGCAACGACGTCAGATAATTGTTTTCCGCGGCCAGTGACTATATAATATTCGTTTTTCATTGGAATGATATATATATATTTCATCAAAGTACTATATCATATAGACCTGAAGCAGGTGGAGACTTGCGAGGCCCGGAGGCAGTGCACTGAGGCCGTTGTGAGACATATTCAAGTGAATTAACGACGCCCCAAGTCGGGGGGCCGACGCCAAGTGGGACAAGTCGAGCGTGCTATACAGTCACAATAACAAAGTTTGCCATAGTATATATATATATACTTATATATAGATACCGTCGATTGGACAAGTCTAGCACGCCGGACGCACATGCATCCCGAATGAAATGGTCTGGGATGGAATGTGCAGTGGAGGTTACTACATCAGCAGCAGCAGGTGTCTGAAGCTGTGCGGTCCTCTTCTGCAAATATTGCTTCAACGCCACACATCCGCCCGCCACCACCGACTGCCGAATGGCCCTGCCATCATCGAAAGTAATATATATATATATATATGTTCCATTTTGGCCTGTAGAGGGCATTTTCTTGGCAAATGGAGTTTAGAAATGTCGTAGCCAATCAAACTGCACACAATGACGCATTTTCAACCAATCGTCAAGCAGCATAGTGTGGCTCTGCTGTTTGGTCGTGCAAACTGTTTATACTAGTATTTGTATACAATACATTGAAGAAGCTTAAATGTTGACTCAAATATAATATCGATTCTGCAACGTGCGAAATATGGACAATATATATATATATACATTGAAAACATTATTTCCAAGATCGAAACAAGGCAGCAAACAATACTAAAGGGAAAGTATCCACTTCTTGCTCGATAGATATATATTATTCACAGTCATACATATAACACATATAGTACTGTACCGCAGCGGATTGCCGTCCAAGACCAAGTGGTTCAGGGCATCGAGACTTCCCAGTCCTACTCCAAATAGTGTGATGACACGTACGTACTTCACAACAGAAGATGAACAGATGAAAGCAATGGGTCGATGGTCGATCTACCGGGGGGCAAGTCGGACAGATTGTTGTTGGAAACGTCGAGTGATGTGAGGAAGTCGAGGGAAGCGATGGAGGGGGGGAGGGCGTCGAGCTGGTTGCAGCGCACGTCCAGAACGGTCAGAGCTGGCGCCAGGCGTTCGAGTTGAGGCAAGTCACGCAGCCGATTGTGACCAGCGAAGAGCATTGTGAGCGTGGACGGAAGCGTCGGGAGGTCGTCCAGGCGGTTGTGCCGCAGATCCACCGACTTCAATCGGCGTAATGCGTCCAAGGCCGGCATGGCCGCGAGTTTGTTCTTGCTCACATCTAGAGTCTCCAACAACACAAGCGACGACAGTGGCGGTAGAGTCTCCAGAAGGTTCTGCTGCACGCTGACACTGCGCAACTTGGTGAGGTGTGCTAGGGTGCCCAGTGTGAATGAAGTAGACATAACGACGAGGAGACGAGATGATCGTGTATACCGATGGAAGAAGGGATACAAACGAGTTGGTTGTCGTGAAGAGCCAATGTTTCTAAATGCACAAGAAGCCCAAGGGTGTCGGGCAGCGACGTCAAGACGTTGGCACTGAGCGACAACTCGCGAAGGCGGACGAGACTGCCGAGGAACGACGAGGCTTCATGCAGCTTGTTGCTGGGATAAACAAGTCGCACCATGAGACACTTTGATAGAGATGGAATGGGTAGTCAGTCGTACTTGCTCAAGTCCAAGTACACGAGGGACGTCAATGAAGCGAGTTGAGGCGGGATGTCCGTGAGCTGGTTCTGCTTCAACTTGAGCCACGTCAATGCTTGAAGCTGTTCCACGTCTGCAGGAACTGCCACGAGATCGTTGTAGCTCAAGTCGAGTTTGACCAGGTCTCGGCACTCCCAATGCTGTTCGTCCTAAAACGTGTGAATTCAAGCATCGTCAACCTGTCCCACCAATCATCGAATCGTCGTACCGATTCCATGTGCATGTTCGGGAAGAAGACAGCCTTCGGAATATCCTTGAGGTCCCGTGCAGACAGATTCAGGGCACCCGACTGCCGCGACTGCCGCAACGTCCGCTGCATGTCCAAGTCAAAAATTCAAAATGAGGGACCATCACTCTTCAGAGTGCATGTATCCCACGAAGTGTACTTCGAATTGAAATACTATGAAAATAGTATAAAATTCACCATTCTATATGGAAACTTGTAGTATAAGAGAAAATAATTGTAACTAATTAAATAGTATTCAATTGTGATTGCTCGCAAATCATGGCGAAGCACGCGAATGTCTCTTGAAAGGACTGCAATTCACAGTATATATTAATCACCCCCTAGTAATTGTTTCGACCGCTGTCAATGTGTAATATATATATATATATATATGTTGTTCCTTGTACCCTGCCCACGACGGCCAACGCCAACGATGAAGATTGCGTGTGTCTACATAACTTATGACCAGTTGTCTTATAAAATACCACCTACGCTTCCGTCTATCTACACCAGCTCTCGACCTCTCTCTCTCTCCCTACCTACGTACTACTACTTACTACCTACTTACTTGCCCAATTGTGGGTTGGACGGAGAAGTATTCGTTTTTGCGGCGGCCGCGCCAATGTTGCCGCCAGGATGATTCTTCTTGAACGTGGCGCGCTGGATGCCCGTGATGGCCACGACCGACTCTGCGACTGCATTGCACACGGCCTCCTGTGCGACGATGCTTCGGGCAGGGACGCTGTCAAACAGGCAGTCCTTGGCGGGTGTGAAAATCTTGAAGTCACTGGCGTGGTACAGCGGACTGTCGTCGTTGCCCACGAGGCACAACACATCGCAGTCAAACTGGCGAAATACATTGGGCAGGTTCACGAGCTCGGGCGTTTTGCCGCTGTTGCTGAACAGAACGACGACGTCTCCAGGCAGGAGGTTACCCAGCTCGCCGTGTGTCCATTCGCTGCCGTGGATCCATTGGGATGGGATTGAGAGCGAGCTTAAAGTAGACGCAAATCGCTTGGCTACAATCCCCGACTTGCCAATCCCGGTCGTGTACACCCGATTGCGATTCTCCCGACAACAGATGATGCGCTGGACAAACGACTCAAAGTGTGTCGCGTATTCCAGATTATGAAACAACCTCCGCAAGTTCTAATATTCATAGTTACATGAGCGCATCCTATATATATATATATGTATATTGGTTGTGTTGATTTTGCATAACTGCTGGAGCGAATTTTAAAAAACCAAGTGTATACACAGAAAGAATCGATTTTTATGCCGACAGAATATGATATCATGGCATCGTGATTCCTTTTAGTGTTGTGTTTACAAGCACCATATATATAACAATATATAACTTTTGGCATCAATATATAATCAGTCTATCGAATAATTCGATACATAGATTTGTCAGCACAAACGAGGCCAACAAATGGTTGGATAAAAGAACAATATATATATATATATATAGGTAGGTAGGGATCATCACGATATCTTACCAAGAGCGCGTCTATATCTCGAGTCAGTGACGAGTTGGGTCCTTCGATCGCCTTGGCAAACGGCATCATCATCGCCTCCACTGACTGCGCCCTTGTCTTGACCACAGGTACGGGAGGGGAAGCCGTGGGCAGCACCAGCAGCCGCTGCAACCGGTCGGCTGTTTCTGGAGATGGCCACGCGCCGACAGTATCGACGCACGCGCCTCGGATCAAGCCTGCCAGCGTCGCTAGGCGGACCGCCGACGAGTGGTCGTCCGGCATCCCCTGCATCCCATCATGAGCGATCGAGTAATTCCATGTTTAACATGCAAGATAGATGACGTACCCAGCGGTGGACGCCGGCGATGAGACCGCTGAAGAAGGCGTCGTCCGCGCCTTGGAGGTCGGCGCCGGACGAACTGGGCCATGCCACGACGGCGGTGCAAGCGCCGTCGTTGCCACCCCCGGACGCGAACGCCAACACGACGCCGTTCACATCGTTGGTCAGGGCCACGAATGGAATGCCAAACTTGTCCCGCAGACGATGCGCAATGTCTTGATCAGTACGGGATGCAGAATCATCGACGAGTTCGCGCGCCGCGGCCACGGACGCCCGGACGACGGTGGCTTTGGCCAGACATCGCTCCAAGGTTTCCCAGTCGCCCAGTCCCGCGTCGTGCACGGCGACGGACGGCGGCGTCGCGAGGTCGAGGAATCGGACCGAGTGACTGGCCAAATCGAGCGTTTCTTCGACGCTGGCCAGCGGCACGTGCCGGATCTCGGTGGACACGCACTTGGCATGCTGCAGAGGTTCGGCGAAGAACAACTTCATGGCGTGCTGGGGAAGTTCCAGCATCGACCCGCCCGAGAGGATCGAGCACGAATCCCCCGACGCCGCCACGAACGTCCGTGACACAGTCGTCTCAAAGTCTTCCTTCTGCACAAGAAAGTCCGTGTTCACTTGATGTTCATGCAACTTTTCTCGGATCATGTCGCCATACTTGTCTGCACCCTACGGACCATATGCATGAGGTTGGTGAATACTACAGGTGCAATCGAGACATTGGAAACGGACCTGGAACGCCAACAGACCCGAGTTGAGGCCTAGCGCTTGGCACCATGCCAAGTGGTTCATCGCTCCACCAGCAACGACTTCATGCGCCAAGTTTTTGCGCTACGTTGCATACGAGATGGAGTTAGGATATGACGGTGAGTTGTGCGTTGCACGCGGGGAGGGCGGCGTGCATACGTGGAGGTATGTGGTGTGGTGGGCAGTGGGAAGGTGCTTCACATGGCTGACGATGTCCACCAAGGACGAGCCACATGACAGCAGGTCAAAGGACGCATGGGAGCGCCGCAGGAAGTTGTGCATGACAGAGGAAGACGGAACAACAGGCCACACCATCACGGGCGTTGAAGAACAATATTGGAATGCTACAAACCTGGTGGCAGCAGCCAGGAGCCTTCGGTGTTCATCGGGACGCGTTAATCGACATCCAAATGCGTTTTATGTGTTTAACGCATCCCCTGAATTTACGACGTTTACAAACAACCAGCACTGTATGGGATTAAAACGCAGCGTTGAAAAAACGGTTAAACCAATCTGGTAATCAATTCCAGAGCGCCATCAACAATTTCCAGCCACGTGATTGGCTCAGCACCTAGCCAAACAAATCGGCCGCCGCCGTTGAAAGCTTTAACATTGGGGCGTTGGATCTGACAGTGAAGTGCGTTTGGGGGCAAGTTACACTAGCGTTCGTTGCCATACGATGTTTACTACTGCCAATTCGTGGCTAGCTTAGACGAGTCATTACAGTGTATTGTGGGCATTCTGTATGTCATGATGTTGGGAGTCTACAGCTGTACAGTCGTTCCCCCTATCAGCCCCAAGTATGTACGGACAAGGTGAACCCTACATACTGTACCGTGGTACATCCTGTACAGCTCTGGCTAGCGAAGTGAAGTGGATCTAGAGCTCTGGCGACCGCCGAAGATTTTGCGTGGACTTCGGGGTACTTCACATACAGCATCCAGCGAAATGAAATCCTGGGGTTGTGATGATTCAGTACTTTGCATACTGAGTATTGCAACCGACCTACACATATTACGTAGTACTACTGCAAACATACAAACATCAACATTGGTGAGGTGATAGGCAATAAATCGATGGTTCTAATCCATCGAATCACGGCCGGATGATAAACCAACCGAATTAACGTGCCTTCGATTTGGTAGTGTATTGTTTTTATCCGGATAGCTAGTTTGGTAACCGGAATTCCCAGGCGACGGTGGAGCGACACACGATGGAGAAGCAAGTCGTGACCCGCCTCGAACAAGCATGGAGCTCGGCGGATGTGGGCGCGTTCTTGGACGAGTCCAAGCTTCATGAGATCATGGTGTTGTTCCACGACATGGAGCCCAGCGCCAAGGTTCGACTTCTTCTTGCGATACAGACGGCGCAACAAGAACATGTTAAACAGCAATTATCCCGCGAACGCCACGGAGGTAGCAACTCCAACGCCGCGTTGCCATCTTCCCTTGGCCTCCCCGAAGATCTCTTGAAGCAGATTTTGTCCAAGGCGGACGCTGACAGCGACGAATGGGTCCGCATTGGGTCCGGCATCCTGCGTCGCATGCTGTTTACAGACTCCCCAGACGACGACTACCTCGCGCAGAGCGTTCAAACGACCGTGGGTCAAGTCATGGCGCTCGTGGACGCTTCTGGTGGTGGCGAGATCGCCGTGGACGACTGGTTTTCCCATGATTTAGCGTACATGACTCCACATCCGAACGTGTCCCTCCAAGGCGGCGCCGCCTCGAAGAACGATCATTTCACCGTCGTGGAGGAAGGCAGGCCGTTGGACGACGTGAAGAAAGGAGCACCGTCGCTGCATACCCCTCTGCGGTCGGCCACATCGTCAAGCAGCGGCGCTGCGGTTCGTCGCGGGACTTCTTCCGTGTCGATCTCGTCATCTTCGTTCCCCCCGAAACCCCACGCGACGGCCCCTTCGTCCTTGAAGCGGTCGTTAACAGAAATGGGCTCGGAAATCCGTCGACAGGCTGAAAACGGCCGGTTCAAGCGCAACCGAAGTCGCATTTCCGTGATCGATCTGGACGAAGTCAAGCAGATCGAAGCGGACAAGGTGCTCAAGGCCGAAGAACGCAAGCAACTCGCGCGTCGGGGCCCGACCAAATCCGCGGCGGCGGCGACGGTGGCGGCGACGGTGGGGGACAACGACGCGAAAGCAGCAGCTGCGTCCTCGTCGGCGGACGCGGCGGCTTCTGCCGTCGATACCCAGGACGAATTTCACCAAGCGGCGCTGTCGATGGCGTCGCTGCCAGAAGCAGACGCTGGACACATGCCTCAAGGAACGTATCTCGACTATGGAGGGATGATGCAGTACGACGAGTCGTACCTCCAGGGAGAAGACGCCGCCGCCAGTGCCGCCGTGGCCGCTGTGGCCGCGCACGCCCGGCTCCCAGTGTTTAATGACCCATATCAGTACGTGGATCAACAGGGACAACAACAGCAGCAGCAAATGTACCAGCAACAGATTCACATGCAGCAACAAGCCATCCACCAACAGCAGCAGCAGCAGCAGCAGCAGCAGTCGATGGCATTTCCGTTTGACAGCCACAACGCCCTGTACCAGCAGCCACCGCCGCCCCCATTCTCGACCAACGCGGCCGAATTTCCGTACAACGCGGCGACTGGCGGCGGGTTTCTCGACTCTACGAACAACAACACATTTTGGAGATAAAGCCATATGCTAAATATACTATTAATAGTGTTCGGATCACTACTACACCTTTTTTCGGTTAATTTCAGGACCTCACCATACTTTTTTCGCGAAATAAACAACCAATTCGCGGCGGTTCCACTTCGTTCGTTGTATATTCGTTTTATTTCGCCTGCAACCAAAAAGGTTGCAGTGTATTTCAAGCGACATTCCTTATATTTCACTGTGTATGCGCTCAATTCAGCGAGTGGCTCAATATATTTCGAGGTGCAATCCATATATTTCAATAAAAAATAGAAAGGAATCACTTCAACCCAAGATCTCGCGGGGTTTCGCTCATTCTTCAAAACGACGGACGATGGAACAAGCCCCTTCCACAGCGCTTGCCACACCAGTACGTTCCAATACATTCCCTATGTACATGGAAGTTGGAGCCTGGTCGACCAACAATTGCATTTTACGTCGAAAGTCAGATGGATTTACATTTTTATTGAAATATATCGATTGCACCCCGAAATATATTGAGCCACTCGCTGAATTGAGCGCATACACAGTGACACATAACGAACGTCGCTTGAAATACACTGCAACCTTTTTGGTTGCAGGCGAAATATAACGAATATCCAACGAACGAAGTGGAACCGCCGCGAATTGGTTGTTTATTTCGCGAAAAAGTATGGTGAGGTCCTGAAATTAACCGAAAAAAGATGTAATGTTAGCATAATATATAAGCTTACTATAAATACAGTTGTGTATATAACTACTATTAACATCCTGTTAATATTAATAGGAGCATGATTGACAGTGAATACAATTATTAATAATATATACCGGTAGTAGTACATTCGTAACGTTCCCGAGTGTGATGTTGGCAATGTTTGAAATAGTACGAAGCATTATAGTATTAGTAGTAGACGCACTGTTGTACTACAGTACCCCCACAATGGTTGACAGTGAATTCAAATGTCTTCCCCGCCCCAAGGTGACCTCCAAACCCTCCATGTTGGAGACTACAATATATCGACCATAATCATCGTTCAAAGATTCACCGCGTAGCCTAACTAACGTTAGTTAGTCTAACCCACACCCGCCCACCCTTCAGCAGACACGACCCGCGGCAGGTCGATACAGTTAGTGGCTTTATAGATCGTACGACTTTGAGTAGAACGACGTGGTCATGTCAATCGTTTGGGACCTCGCGGGGCTAACGTTAGTTAACGTTATGATTCCTTTAACAAGGAGTTCGAATGATGCGGTCGGATCAACACAATGCATATTGTCTTTCTTTTACCCAAAATTTGGACTTTTGTGCTAAATCTATCGAACGATTTTGTTATGTAACGGATTGATATCACACTAATTCAAGTCACACACTAATTCGACGTTAATGATAGTTTCCTGCAATCTGGTTGGCTCAATCCTTCTGCCGTTGATTCTTCTGTACATTTGGTTGTGTCGTCGATTCATACTCCAGTTTAGAATATAAACACAACAATATAAACAAATGTTCTAGTCTGTAGCTACGTTGCTGCTGCTGCTGCCGATGGTAGCGCCGCCGGGAGGGCAAACTTGAGGGGCGTCGGGGGAGCTTCGGGGGTGTCTAGTCACATATTTGGGTTGTCTAGTATTTACATACCGGTAAGTAGTGTTATACCTCCTAGTTTCACCAGCTGATACACTTGACGGGGTTTGAGAATGTCCATGGCTCGGTCGCGCGGTCTGTCGTTGAGTTTGAGGCGCTGGCCAGACTCATCCACCACGTCCAGTGCGTTGACCGACTGCAAATCTACGTCCAGCATGATCCCAACGAGCTTTACATGCCGGAATGAACCTTTGACGGATTTGGAGATCGCCAGCAATGCCTCAAGCTGCGCTTCAAGCTTGACTTGCCAGTCTGTGTGATGACAACTGTTCACGTTTCCAACTCTTGGAATGACCGGTCGCATACCTCCGAGGTCTTGCGACGATGGCGAGACGGACTCGACAGATGTCGACCCAACCTCAGCACCTACCGCTTCGCGTTGCTTCTTGACGCCTTCGATGTCGATGCTGAGCTTCAACGAGCGCTGCTTGCAAATGTCGTCGACTTCTTTCAAGAACGACGCTCGAACAAACCCGAGAAGGATGTCGCACGTGACGTTGCTGTTGAACATCCTTGGCGGAACCTCCTCTAGCCATCGTACGTGACTGTTCATGCTGACATCCTTCACGTCGTCACGCAGTACCAAAGCCATATTTGATCCAGATAAACATGGCCCGAATGTTGAATCGGCGCGCTGATTTCACCGATTGTGTCACTTGAAACCGTCTGCTTTGCATCGACTAAAAAGGGTGCATCCGCCCTCACATTTCCGGAAGGAGGTATGATGCAATTGTCGCTTTGTGACTATACTTGAATAACACACAATCCATTGATACCCGTTTTCGTCATGTAACCTTGGCCCCACACGTCATCATGGGTGGCTTCAAGCTGTTTGATTGGCCAGATGACAATTATAGAGGTGTTTGATTGGCTAGAACTATAAGGTGTGTGCGTCAATAAGACAGGGAAAACGGACTTCAGAATCTATGGTCCACATCTCCCGACGGATCATTTCCGATTTTGATCCCAACATCGAAGGTAACAACGTGCTTGTCCATGGAGATGCGGGCGTATGTAGAGATAGTGGCGCCATGAGGGGTGCTAGCGCTCCATGGCGGCCAAGGGAGATTTGTGAACCAGCGAGGGGTGCCATTGGAGTATACCCGACCCATGGGTGTCATTCCTTCGGCTGAGATTATACCCTAAATAACCTGATCCGGGTCATACCGGCGGAGGGACTGCTGTGCTCGATTGATGCATGTAGAACGTATAGTGATCCTGTGACTGCAATGTGTGTGTCGACTTGTGATGAGTTTAACCGTGGTTGTGGAACGTCCTACAGATTTTTGACAGGTACAACCTCCCCCTACATACACTGGTTGCAGGTATCATAGTGGTGGTATGTACGTAGCGTCACCATGGCCCCTCAATTGAAGAAAACGACGTTTTTGCTCAACTGGTACTCCAACCCGTACCACACGCCCATCTTTGTCGCCAAGAAGCGCGGCTTTTACGAGGAGGAAGGCATCGATTTGGCCATCATGGAAACGACCAACCCCAGCGACGTGACTGAAATCGTCGGTTCAGGCGCCGTCAACTTGGGGTTGAAGGCCATGATCCACATCCTGGCTGCCAAGGACCGCGGCATCAACTTGACCTCGATCGGGTCGTTGTTGGACGAACCCCCGACCGGGCTCATCTTCAAGGCCAGCCAAAACATCACCAAGTTCACCGACATTGTCGGCAAGCGCGTGGGATACATTGGTCACTTCGGCAAGGTCATGATCGACGACTTGGCCAAGCAAGCCGGCTTGGCCCCTGACTCGTACACCACTGTGCGTGTGGGCATGAACGTGACGGACGCCATCTTGCGCGGCGACATCGACACTGGTATTGGCTTCACCAACTTCCAGCGCTTGGAACTCGAAGAATTGAGCGGCGAACCTGCCGGCATGTTGCGCATTGACGAATGCAACGGCTTGGGCTGCTGCTGCTTTTGCTCGGTGATGTTCGTCGCCTCGGACGCGTTTTACAACGCGAACAAGGAGTTGATTGCCGGCTTCATGCGCGCCACCCGCCGCGCCATGGACATCACGATCGAATACCCCGAAGTGGCCTGGGAAGACATGTGCATCATGAACCCTCGCCTGCGCTCCACCAAGCGCCTTGTCCAAGTGGACGTGGAAGGCAAGAGCGTGTCTGTGCCCACTGGCAGCGACGTGTACGAGAAGATCTTTCAACGCACGTTGCCCTACTTCTCGCGCACCCTGCTCAACGTCGATCGCGACTGGAACAAGGTGGGCAACTTCTGCAAGTACTTGCACGTGCTCGAAAATGACGTCGACCAAAACTCGGTGTGGACCAATGAATTGGTGCCTTCCATGGGCAAGCCCAGCGTCGAACCCATCACCCCCGGCGGCGTGTTGAACATTGCGTAAATGCTGCGTCCATGATCCGTTTTGAACCTCGTCGCATGCATCCACTCGTTGCCCTCCACTTGACACTGTAAAAAAGTACAACATTTTTGCAAAGACTTGCTCCTTTTATGTCACGATGTATGGTTTGGTCGAAAAAGGCCACACTCCATCGCAGAAATCAGAGTTTTTGAGAATAAAATGAATATAAAACATACAAACATCAAGTTAAATATATACTTCGAAGTATTTGGCTTAGGATTTCTGTTGGATAGCTATTGTGAACGGATCGCAGGGTAGTTATTAAGTACGGGTAGATATTCGGCCCAATACAATCAAACGACGCACTAATGACAACAGACATTTCAGAACTGTGCAGTCAGGACATAACCACTTCACAACCGAATGTGGTGTCGCGTTCTCGCATATCTTTTCGTAGCACTAACGTTACAGTACATATATCATCACAACGTTAATCAAGTAATTCCTTTCAACTGTTAGACTTGCACGTTTCGTAGGTGTAACCGATTCTTCCATGACCGTTGCCGCTGTATCGACCAACACCATCGTAGCACTCGCGTATGTGAGTGGCATCGTGGGCATATTCGTCAGTCTCCACGGCCACTACTCCACACCCGTTCGAGTCTTGGTCGTCGTGTTGACCTTGGTGGGCACCTGTCCTTGGTACTTAGGCACATCCTGCTCCTTATCGAATCACATTGTGAAGATCTCATGCCATTGATAGTTTGTGGGTTTTGCTTCGGTACGCAGAGAGGGAGACATTGCGTTCTCCAATGTCGTAGCCTTCATGCAGCAGTCCTCCGTAGATGCGTTCGCCGAAGACTCGACGCCCAACAATATCGTTTGCCCGTGCACACCCCTCACACGTCCACTGTGGACGTGGCGTTACCCATAAAAGTCCGAGCAGCACCGTTGACCCAAGCCGTCATCCTGGCTGCACAGCGAACAAACGTCCTTGACCGCCCTCCTATATGACACCGGGTGCACAAACTGGTAGCGTTAGAACCATAGGTTAGGTCGCAAGGTTTCAGATGCCTTGCACTGACTGCATGAAGATTGGGCTACATCAGCAGATTGCATTTTCACTCATACTACCGGTAGCAGCCGTCGTCGCAGACGGTCAACTATAGTAACAGTGTACTATACGAGTAACGTTAGTACCTAATAATGATGACATTAGATATGCCTTGTGAAAGTACCAGTAGACTGTCATGATCGAGAACTGCAATCTGGGTTGTTGCTGCTCGATGCTCCAGGAAAGCGGAATGAACAATGACATCTCGTCGATGTAGCGCAAACGCGAATGCGCTGTTACGGTCCTTGGCATTAACAATTTTGCGGATAGTTGGCTCGCTGGCAGGATGCCACGTCATTGTACTACAGGATTCTAGGAAAGCTGTGCGATGCCATTGGTGGAGAACGGACCAATGAAACCGCAGCATTCTACCAATTGGCCAGCATCAGCGGCGACTTCCATGGGCAAGACGACGACCGACAACCGCGTACGTAGGGACTTTTGGTATGATTCCTCATGCGACGTCGGCATGTAGGACATCTTCTACCGGCGCGCCAAGGAGGTCGGTTTCCGAGCTCGTTCGGCGTTCAAACTCATGCAACTCGACGACCAGTTCAACCTCTTTGAAAGTATGCCACCCACCCACGCTCCCATCTCTCCTGTCAACCCCGTCTGTCATGCCTTCCATCTAACACAGTCTCTCTTTTGGTGTAGATGTTGAACGCGCCGTGGATCTATGCGCCGCGCCCGGCAGCTGGAGCCAAGTGCTGAGCCGCAAGCTATACCACAACCGTGACATCCCGAACGTCGACAGCACCACCACGAGCAAGGACGACGACACCATCATCCGCGTCGTGTCGGTCGATCTGCAGGAAATGGCTCCGATTCCAGGGGTCGCGCTTCTCCAAGGGGACATCACATCAACGCACACTGCCGACCAGATCATTTCGCATTTTCACGGCCAACAGTACGTCGAATCGTCTCTTTCCCATGGTTCTCCTTCGACACCATGCAAACAACGTAGGGCCAACATCGTCGTCTGTGACGGCGCGCCCGATGTCACAGGGGTACATGACATCGACGAGTACGTCCAGTCCGAGCTCCTCTTGGCCGCGTTGAACATCACGACGTTTGTGCTCGCACCCGGCGGCAGCTTCGTGGCCAAAATCTTTCGCTGCAAACACTACGACTTTTTGGCGTCGCAGCTGAGTCTGTTCTTTGGCGAAGTCACGTGCGCCAAGCCCCAGAGCAGCCGCGTGTCGAGCAACGAGCACTTTGTCGTGTGCCGGGGCTTCAAACTGCCACCCCACTACACGCCTGTGATGACGTCGCCGCTGCTGCCCGGCTACGGCCACCCGAACGCCGTCGCAGCCAACCCCACTGTTCTGTCCTTTGTCGCATGTGGAGACCTCAGCGGCTACGACGATGCGGACGACGAGTAGGGCTGATTCCCAATGAAATACAGCACTGTTTAGTGTTATACTCCGGAGTATGGGTAGCCGCGATGATCCGTTGGATTACCGGTAGTTCCTCTTTACTATTCCTTGGCAAACGTCTGGGGTTGCCAAGTGTTTTCACATGGCTATCGAGCCTCGTACCAACCATCCATACTAGTATCTACTGGGACTGACTTTTTCATTCACAACAAGAACCAGCGCCATACCAAGAGTAGATAGATATATCTAAACAGATCAATTCTTAACACTAAGTTAGTACACTTATCGTCCATTCGAATTGGCCAGTTGTTTGTAGGGGCCCCCTCCACCTATTCCTACAGTACTTACAGCGGCGATGAAGGCGTGAAAGCGTGATTATTGTCCTGGATACAGATGACCTGATTTCTAACCAAGTCTTTCACACCAATCTATCCAAGCCAAATCTATCCAAGCCAAATCCCAAAAGTAGAAAGTGCAATATGGAATAATAATATATTTTTCTTTCTTACTATTCATAGTAGTATATACGTACGTAGTAACGTTATATATTTATTAATCAACCCATGTTGATCGGTCGATATCATCATCATGTGCAGCAATGAAGTTTCTCCCCATCCTTTATAAGAGTCATTCATATGTGTGTGATATGTGGGACTACATCGCATATCCTTTGGCAACTCCCTCTGTCACACACAACCAGCATGTTGATTACCGACTGACATGGGTATCTCATCCGTCGATTAGTATTCAAAGTGCAAAGACTGCATCAACCCGATGACGACGACGGGAACGTGGGCATGAGGTGGAGGGGTTTCGGGGGCGGCGACTCTGCAAAGTACTCGTGATGTAGCGCGTCGTGGGCCGAGATGCGCTGGGCTGGGTCCAGCGTCAGCAGCTTCTGCATCAGGTCAAAGCCGGCGTTCGAGAGCACGCTCTGCCCGCCAATCACACTCGCGACGGGGAATTTCTCCCGCAGCATCGACCGTTTCGCGCCTTTCCACTTGACGTTGGCGACGTTGGGCAGGTGGCTGACGTTGGGCCAATTGGCTTCGGAGGGCGCGCCCAGCAGCTTGAAGATCTGGTCCAGCTGGTCAATCTCCCCCCGACCCATAAACAGCGGTGAGAGGAGGATCATTTCTGCGAAAATGCACCCAACAGACCACATGTCCACGGCCGTCGAGTACTGCAACGTTCCAAGGAGAAGCTCCGGTGCTCGGTACCTACAATATAGTGTGAGAATATGTGATAATGTTGCCAGGAATGAATCGGGCAGACAGGATAACGTGTCAAAAATGGTGCATCAAAAAATAGCAAAATCAATCCAATATGTAAAGAATTCAGAACATATAAACTCGTATCTCAAAATGATTATGAAATTCCTTGTAAAATTATATCCTTAGGATTTATGTACCAAAAGAAACATTATCAAAATTCAATACTGTTTATTTACAAACATATTTATTGTGTGTTTATATTCTAAACTGGAGATGCGACATGGAGATGAATGAATCGACACAACCAACAGCAGAACGATATTTAGCCAATCAGATGGCAGGAAACCATCATCAACACGAATTAGTGTATGATTTCAATTAGTGTGATACCAATCACCACTCTCGACACGTGTTTACATACAAAATTCAGTACAAAGACGATATGGTCGATTTGATACAAATTTGGGGAGGGGGTGGAATCAAATCGCGCCGACCAAACCGATCCACAATCGATCTGATTGGTTGAATTTCATTGAGAAGGTTGTGATTGGCTAATAATGTTGAGCTCTTCTGAAGTAGACAATCAAATCGATTTAAATTCCAACGAGAAACCACAACACAATGAAATTTCACTCGAAAGCACAATATCGATCGATAGATTTGGCGAATATTATCAGCACAAAAGCCAAATTATCTTGGGTAAAAGGACAAGATCATAGATAGAAAGGAGCACCTCTCGGGTGGATTACAATGCCGAGAGAGGAACGACAGGGATGGCTATGGCTATTATGATGCGGTGGTACCAGTATGGGATTTTCGAGCCAAGGGAAATAACCAACAATACAGCGGACGATGACAGTGTCACATATACAGTGATAATTCGAAATAAATATAGATCATCGATTTTTGTCATGGCGCAAATACATATAGAGTGGACAAGCACAGAATGCACCCGTGCCAATAGATCTATGTAGTACGATACCACAGGGTCACGACGAGGTGGGTGTAGGATCGAATGGGCGAGCCATACTTGCGGGCCATGCCGAAGTCGCACACTTTCAGCACGCCCTGGTCGTACAGGAGGTTGCTGCTCTTGAGGTCTCGATGGATGCACCATTTCCCATGCATATGGTCGATGGCTTTCAGCAGTTGCTGCAGCAGCGTCTTGATCTCGGAGCTCAGGAACGGATGCTTGGTCGCCGCCTGCTTCTCGAACACGCGCTTCAAGTCGTTGTCCGAGTAGTCCATCACCATGTACACCTTGTCCGGCGTCGAACCGACGACCATTTCCCGCATGCGGATGATGTTGGGGTGCTGCAGCGCGAGTAGGATGTTGGTTTCGCGCAGCGCCGTGACCGGAAACCCTTCCTTGCAGATGTCCGCCGCCATCTTGATCTGCTTCAAGGCGACGATGTCGCCCGTCACCTTGTCGCGCGCTTTGGACACAACACCGTACGTCCCCTCATCGATCTTGCCTATCCGAGCATAGTTGTCCACGCCGCGGCAGCTTGGTCGACCCTTCCGGACCACCGTTCGTTGCGGCGACGGAGGTAGCGCAGATGCTGAGGCTGCTGAAGAGGAAGCTTCCACTTCTAATGGTTGATGGACGTCCTTTAAGTCCTTCTTTGACCGCCGCGGCACTTCTTCCTCGCTGTCGTCATCGTCGCTACTCCATCGATTGCGCTTCATTATTGTGTTTCCTTGTCGTTGGTTTGGCCCAACACAATGTTTGGCCCATTTGTCCCAATCGGGATTTGGAGTTTGACCCAAAGTGGGCAAAACGTTCGTAGCATTTGGTTTGTCCCGGATTACAAATACCTCAACTTGACCTTTGAGATTACTATAATAGGTATAACGTTAGGGGCACGATCGTTCGCCCTGCTTTGGCATTCTGGCCACAGATGTATCGATGCTTCGAACAATGCAAGATGCAGAACTTACGTCTTGGCTGTGGGCTATGTAAATCCATGTTGCAAACTTCATTGGTGGCCGCCCGCCGGAAGTTGGCTGGTTGATTGTTCCGCATGTGGATTGGGTGTTGCAAAGCTATGAGGTTAAGGTTGGTGTACGTACTGGAGCATACCAGTAGGTTGAAGTTGTCACTGTGTAATGCACGACTCATCGATGACATCACAGCGGTTCCTCGCTTCGGTCACTCTGCGTTTTGCCCGTTTGCCCCAGTCGGTTCGCAGGTGGCACCACCAATCCCTGCGATGCCATTGGCTCCACGGTCGCTTGCTTCAGTGGTGTCGCGAGTTGAAATTGTAGTGCCAAAGCGTCTCTTTAAAGTACGTATTATGCACTTGGCTATTGTATGGTTGCATATTAAATGTAAGAAACCTATATAACAACATATATGCATATATTCCTTTATACTGAATGAAGGAGCTTCCGTAACAATGAATTTGAATCGTAGAAAATAATCAATTTTAATGCTAACATTGTGGTTGAAGTAGACATCATATAAAGATCAAGATATTCAATTTCGAACTTAACACGGATAATACAGTATATGTGTGGTAAGGATATACGTTGTCACAGGATTTATTCAATGCCACAGGTGAGTTGGGCCTTGCACCCACTCACTCATTTTTGAAAACCCCCCTCGACATCCCCATGGTGGACTCGAACGCCGTCAACGCCGCGAAACTCCGTAAGTGCCGCTCCGTCCGTCCATGTACATGTAGCGTCTGATGATCACACATGCAGTCTGGACACCCACGCCCGAGTTGATTGCCACCTCGCACTGGACCAAGTTCACTGCGTTCGTCAACACGAAACATGGGTAAGCACGGCGACATCCATCGATCTCGCTTCCTCCGTGGATCTTGTATTGAATGGACTGTCTAGACTGTCTCTCGTGTCTGTGCACGATCTGTGGCAATGGTCCGTGGACAACTTGTCTCATTTTTGGGCGGCGGTATGTCCTCCCATTCGATTTTGACGTGGATCTTATCCTAACGTTGCCTTAGACGTGGGAATACACGGGCATGGTGTCGTCCGCACCACACACACAAGTGATCCAAGACGAAACCAAGATGCCTGGTGCCAAGTTCTTTCCCGGCGCGCGCCTCAACTTTGCCGAGAACTTGCTTCGCCACCGCGACGACCGCACTGCACTCGTGTTCAAATCCGAAACATCCAACCAAGCGATCCGCATCACGTACAACCAACTGTACGACCAAGTCGCGGCACTGTCCCAGCGATTGCGGCAATTGGGCGTCGCTGTTGGCGACCGCGTCGTCGGGTACATGCCTAACACCCCCGACACGGTCGTGGCCATGCTGGCTGCCACGAGGTACGTACTTGTCGTCCTTCGATAGTTGTGCATCGTTCTGCCTTTATCGTTGAAGTGTCGACCTTCTTCTGTGACGAGGTTTGTTTATTCATCGTCCTCGTTTTGGTCACATGCGATACAGTGTCGGCGCCGTGTGGTCGAGCTGCTCGCCAGACTTTGGCAAGAACGGCGTGCTCGATCGCTTTGCCCAAATCACGCCCAAGGTTGTGTTTGCCACAGACGGGTACTTTTACAAGGGCAAGCGCATCGACACGCTCCCTGGGTTGAAGGACATTCTGCACGAACTACCCACGGTCCACAAGGTATGTGTTTCCTACACACGTACCGTTGAACGATGTCGCAGGTCGTGCTCTTCCGCTACACCATCGGCCCTACGTACGACTTGGACTTGTCGGCGCTCCCGAACGCCCAATATGTGGACCATTTCCTCGCAGAACTGAACGCCCCCGTGCAGTTTCCAATCCAGTTTGAGCAGCTGCCGTTCGATCACCCCGTGTATATCATGTACAGCAGCGGCACCACCGGCCTGCCAAAGTGCATCGTGCAAGGGCCTGGGGTGTTACTCAACCACCTCAAAGAACACATGCTGGTACGTACGTACAGTAATTTGGTCACCTGTATTTTATATATTTTTTATATATTCTTAAAATCGACCAGTCTTTATATTCTTTTCATTCGCATGGGTTCATTTTTGCATATTTTGGTACTCCAAGTAAATCTGTTATTGTTACAACTGGCAATGTTGTTTTGTTGTTGTGTACAGTATACATTCCATCGTTCTCATTCGACTAAAACCAATATATATTGGTTTTACAAATATATATATATTGGTTTTACAAATATATATATATATATATATATATATATACGATGCCCTGGACCCGCCGCGACGACGACAACGACGTTCGGTTCCTTTGTTTTACATACATACTCGTGGGACGCATATGGTGTTTTATTTGTCGTCCAGTTGATTTTGTCGTCGGTTCTTTTTATCCCACCTCTGTTCTTTTAATACATTCTATGTTCTTTTACTCCCATCTGGGTGTTCTTTTAATCACATATCTGTTCTTTTAATCAAATCTGTGTTCTTTTATTCATGTTCGAGTGTGGTTTCTATGGTCTCAATGGAACACCAACGGCATGGTCGGTAGCACTTGAACGTGAGCCGCGACGACGTTGTGTTTTACTACACTACAACCGGATGGATGATGTGGAACTGGCTCGTGAGCGGGCTCGCCGTCGGCGCCACCGTCGTGCTCTTCGACGGCAATCCGCTGTACCCGGGGGCATCGGCCCTATGGCAGTTTGCCGAGGAGGTCGGCATGACAGTCTTTGGAACGTCCGCGCGGTACTTGGCGGCGGTGATGGACTCTGGGTGTAAGCCCGGCAAGGAGTTCAACCTGTCCAAGCTCAAGATGATTGCGTCCACGGGGTCCCCCGCCAGCACCAACATTTTCAACTTTGTCTACTCGGACATTAGCGCCGACGTGCAGTTCGCGTCCATCTCGGGCGGCACCGACCTCAACGGGTGCTTTGCGCTGGGCTGCTCCAACTTGCCCGTGTACAATGGCGAACTCCAGGTGCGCGGACTTGGGCTGGACGTGGCTATTTACAACGACAACGGCGACGCGCTTGTCCAAAGCCAAGGCGAACTTGTGTGCCTCAAGCCGTTTCCGTCCATGCCGCTCTACTTTTACGGCGACACGGACGGATCCAAGTACTTTGGCGCATGTACGTCGTCGGATCTTGTTTATATATTGTTTGTGTGATTTGATTGATTGGGGGTAAACATCTGGAATGCAAAATGGATGATTGATTGGCTAGTTGATTCGTGATCTGGGTTTTGATTGGTCGATCGATTGTGGGGTTTGAACTTGGGGATTACCAACATTCATGATATGGGAATAATGAATGTTTGTAGATTTCGACGTGTTTCCCAATGTGTGGCGTCATGGCGACTTTGCCGAAATCACGGCTCACAACGGCATGGTGCTGTACGGTCGATCCGACGCGACGTTGAACCCGGGTACGAACGAACGGCTGAAAAATCGATCACGTCATCCAGATATATATATATATATATGGATCACGTCATATGACGACGGTACTATGTGATTGTTGTGCAGGGGGAGTGCGCATTGGCACGGCAGACATTTACAAAGTCGTCGAGCAAATCAAGGACGTGGCCGACTCGGTGATTGTGGGCCAGGTACCTTACAAAACCATACATACCGCCACAAACAACAACACACACACACACTAATTGATGGCTATATCGTCATCACCACACACACTAATTTATGACCTATTTAGGACTACACGCTGTCGGACGGTACCCCGGACGTGAAGATCGTGCTGTTTGTGGTGCTGGCCGAGGGCGTGGCGTTGACGGCGGAGCTCCAGAAGCGAATCGTGTCCAAAATCCGCACGGAGACGAGCCCACGCCACGTACCCGGCCTTATTGTGGCGTGCCCAGACATCCCGTACACCGTGAGCGGGAAGAAGGTCGAGATCGCCGTCAAGCGCGTTCTGGGCGGCAAAACCATCACAAACGCCAGTGCCCTGCGCAACCCCGAGTCCCTCGCCTGGTTTGCCGCGTATGCCAACAAGGCATCTCAGTAGAAAACACATACAATCCACGCTTGTGTTGTACACTCGTGTGGCTGGCTAACTACAGTACTGTACTCACTTGTATGTAGTACCTACCGCAAAGTACAGATGTGGTCGTTAAATTAGAATTTACCGTTCCAGATGATGCTCTAGAATGAAAAAACTGCGAACTTGCTACATACTGACTGTCCAACGACATCAGACTAATAGTACATACTACTACTGTACTGTACAGTATGTATTAATATTAATAGTAGGTATTAATAGTACGTACTCTTAATAGTAGCACAAGATGCCGTCAAACCAACGTTAGAGATCTGGGGACTTGAATAGTATGGTCTGTCATCGAGATCTTTGAACCAGGGTAATGAAGGTGTCCACTGTGGCTCAGGAAGCCAGCTTGTATACATTCCATGGCGAAATCCTATAGCCATGATAACGAGTGTTTGTGTATCAGGATGAATTGTACTTAGTCTGCTACGGCTGGATGGACATGTACTATGCCTCGTGTACGAACTAACGTGAAGCCGACTCGATGTTCAAATGGCAGTGGAAGCCAGCAAGGATGTCGAGCCCAGTGCTCCATGGCACGACTCGCGCGGTGACGGGATCGGCGCGGATACGCCGGAGCAATTCGCATCCTTCCCGGGCAAACACGACGTCGTGGCTACACGTCAAATTGCACTCTTACACCACAACAGTAACATCCATGACAATGGTATATAGCTTTGCAAAGCCCACAGTAGACATCACACATGTACAAACATAACTTTGTCACTCGAAAACCAGCACATTCGTAGTTCTACGTACGACGAAAGCTGAGACGTTGTAGGACAGTAGTCGCCTTCGCCGTCGCCTAAACCGTAGCGCCATCGTGTTATTTACTTAACCCAATCATATATACTCCACGTACCAACATACAGCACTTTGCCGTACGAGTGGCAGCTTTTGAGATGCTTCAAGATGGCCCCTGTGCATGTCACATATTACAAGGGTATTCCTCCAGATGTATTCGAGCAATGCATGGCATGAATACGCCAGACGAGGGGTTCTACCTTTGCACATGTTGGACGGGCATCGAGGGCAGCCATGGGGCGGACGCTCTGCCGAGTGAAATGGCGATACGCGGAGCCGATCCCCTTGAAACGACGACGGGTTCGTGAACACTTGAGAGATGATGGACGTCAACTGGTGGTGCGCCAGCATGCTCTGGATGTACACCGTGTTGGCGTCGCTGACAATGGCCACGTCCCAGCCCTTCTCATGGGCCAAGCGCACGGCGTCCACCATGCCTGGCTGCACAGGCACGCGCGCCATGACCTCCACGAGGGTTTCCTTGGTGCAGGTCAATCTCCCCAACGCATCGTCTACACGCCCATGCACCATGGCAAGTTAGGAAGATGCGAGAAGGACATGAAAGAGCCTACCGACGGCCTTTGTCAAGGGCGCGCCATCGTGCACGAGGTGCGCAAACTCCTCGAGCACGGCCGGTTGCAACTGCTGGAACACGAAGAAATCCGAGTCGTCGTTGATCAAGCTCCTATATCGAGCCGCGTCAAGAAGCGATGGATGGCGGCATGTGGCTAGGTAGGCTCGTACCAGTCGTAGTCGAACACAACCAGCCCGTTTGCCACCGCCGGTGCCACCATGATGATGTTGTAGTTGAGGCTGTTGCGAATTCGACAATGTCATCTTTGGTTGTCAAAAGGAAAGAGTAGGACATGTTATCCGGATTCCGGATACGACACCCTCGAAAGATTCAAATGAGAGTTCAACGCCTAAATGGCGTCGATACTTTTCGATGTTAGTACATTTGCTTTCCTGGCCTCTGCAGCTTCAGCACACTCGCCCTGCAGCATCGGTCTAGTGGTATGTATTATATGGGCCAGAAATCGTTGCCTCGTCTCGTCCATTCACCTCGCACCCACACGAAAATTGTTGCGACGAGCCCCGAAAGACATTCAATAAATCTGTAGTACCGTCTACGAACAGTTCAGCTAATAAACTCTTGTTAGATGAGGCTTAGTTTTTGTACTCTGACCACCTCAGCTCTTACTAGGGTTAACCGTATCTCAGTGGTTAGCAATAGCAAAACCACTGGTGATGCGCTTAACCCTGGGGGAAGCAAGAGAATTTGCTTGAACGGTTCTCAGTCTCTTCAGCTGAACGGTATCCAGATTTTCTGAACGTTTGTTTTCCCATACTGTCCGTTTGGGCGAGACGAATGCAAAGAAATTTTCCAGTGAGCCGATTTTGATGCAGTTTTTTCTACGTATACGTATACAGTCATCCTCCAATTTTTGCAGCCTGGTGTAAACGAATATCCTGTGTAATCCCATCGAATATTCAATATATGGGAGACAGTAGGAACTCAAATGCGGCGCCAGCACCAAGTCATATCGCGATAACACGAGCGTTGTCGATTAGCCTTGCGAATCCTGGCAAAGTGTTTAACTCTACATACACGACGACATGGCTGTCGGAACTAATTCGAGCACTGCAATAACAAGCTAAGCTTAGGATGTTTCTACAGTAATACTGACAGTGTACTTGCTTTGATAAATTGGGCGGCTACGTTTCACAAAACGTATGTGGATGTTTACGATTAGACTTTGCTCATCAATGTGAATAATCTCCTTATATAGTATGAAGGTGTACTTCTCCAAGACTTCATATAACCCTTTCATACTGTATAAGTAAAGCTACCGGTATATTTGGTTGGGGCTGCAAAAATCGGGGATGACTGAACTAGTACTAGTAGTACAATCTCTTCGTGACCAACCACATATTCTGCATGCAGAATCTTGAAGGCCCAACTGAGAAACTCTGGTCTGCCTTCGCAAGCAACGATTCATAAACACAAACGTAATATTATAATAATGTGGAATAATATTATAGTACTACGAATTTCTGAATAGTTTTAATCAACGGTACTAACTCTTACCTCGAAGTATGTAGTAATGCTCTATATTATTTAACGGTTACTATTCTATTGTTAAAACTCAAATATATAATAGAGCTCTTTCGACAACTTGTATTATACTGCGAGTACTTTGAAGTACCTGTTATAACATGCGTTTCCACTAAGTACGTTCCATTAGGTGCTGAAACGTCATTTCAAACCTACTTATGGATATTATCACTCTTTTACTTTGTTTTTTTCACACCCACACCAATACTCCGGAGTACGAATTTCGACGTGATTTGTGAAGTCCTACGAACTGCATGAATACTTCTCTTGAAGAAACAGTAGTATAATAGCAATTTGGAAGAAAGAAACCCCTCCATCGAAGGGTCCCGAAAAACTGTCGCAAAACCCTGCCCATACGTATACTGTCCGTTTGGGCGAAACAAATGCAAGATTTGTGACTCCCATAACTTTTGTCCTAGGAGGTACTATTAATAGTAGTATATTTCTTCGATCCAAAGGTACTGGTAAATTTGAATTCAGAAGTTTAACGTGCAGCTCGTGAGGGTTTTTATTTTGCCTGGAATTGTGAATACTGCTCCACCTTGAAAACAGTTCATCTTGATTTTATCCAGTTACCTCTCAAACTCAAAAATAGTTGCAGGTGATTGGTTGAAAATTTCAGAGTGAATGTTTTCCACCAATCATGGATCGTGGCATTGTCGGCGATACGTCATTATACTTCGAAGTAATTTCCATGTTGTTGGTATTGTTTACGCTAGCCAATTGCGTGTAAACCACTTCTGTATCACCGCATTTACCCACGTGTGTTTGATGCGATCAGGTCATGCAATATGCGCTTGGAACCCCTTGAGGATGTCAAAGCCAGTGTTCCAGGGCACTACCGTGGCGAGGACGGGGGTTTGCTGGACCTTGTGCAGCAACTCGTACTTTTCCCGGGCAAACACAACGTCGTTGCTACCACACGAAATTGCTGTAGTAAAAACTTGTCATCAAACACGGTATATCTCCGTACCTCGACAATTCAGTAGCAACGGGGCAAAAGTCGCCACCGCCGTCGCCTACAGAAACGGAAATCAGTCCAATAGTTGCAATCATGGTATGCCATTGACCACGAATAACATAAGTATTGTGCCTCGTACCAATGTACAAGATCTTTGTGTACTCTGCCGACGCCTTGATTTGCTTTACGATCGAGCCTACATACGTTATAGCAACATCATTTATGATGCAACCCAAACCTGATACCTTAAAGTACATGTCGTCGGCGGTTTTACCTTTGCACATGTTGGTGGGGCACCGAGGACATCCGTGGGGCGGCTGGTCCAGGGGATGGTACGGTGTCACATGCAGCGTATCGCCTTGGAACGCGGAATGGTTGGTGAAAACTTGGGTGATGATCGACGTCAAGTTGTGGAGGTTGAGAAAGGCATCAATGAACACCGTGTTGGCGTCGCTAACGATGGCAACTTCCCAGCCGCGCTCGTGTGCCAAGTGCACAGCGTCCAGCATGCCGTCTTGCACGGGGATGCGGCCGATGACGTCGATCAATGTTTCCTTGGAGCAGTTCAACTTTGACAGCGCTTGATCTGCAAGAGAAGGAGGCGGTTTCATTCGTCGCAAAGCATACACTTGCAAGACGTACCCACAGCTTGTGTCCACTGGACACCGGCGGCGGTCAGTTCCTTCAAGTGCACCACGAGCTCTGGCTGCACTTGGTGAAAGATGTACGTGTCCGAGTTGTCGTCTATCAAACTCCTACCACACACAGTTACCCCACCATCGAAGAACACGCATGCCGTGGACTCACCGGTCATAGTCGAATACCACCAGTCCTTTTGAAGCCATCGTGTGGTTGCTTGATGGGAATTTGAAAAGGAACTGGCAGGTTGGTTGTTGAAAGGGCACACGTCGAAATGCCAAGCCCGGAAATATTTAAATAAATAATTTAACATTACCTTGGCTAACATATATACCTCTTTAAAACTTGGTGGAGGTGTTTGTCGTCAGACCCTCACAGGTTGTTCGAGCCCTCGCATGTTGCAATGGTGGAGCGCTCGCTGTTCATGCTATTCTATCTTGAAGGACTTTGAAGCATTTGCGCACGAGAACCTTCGCAGCGCAAGCATTGCACAAATGGCAACGGCACCACCGTCGATGTGCATCCTGTGATTGTCTCATTGCGATATGTGGGGGTGCGTTGGAGATGCTCAGTAAAAGCAAGATGACAAACTCATAAGGAGTAAATTAGTAGGCTCTAAAGCACATGGATCGGGTGGCAAGACGTCAGAATCGACGCGGTGTCCAACACAGGTCTTCGTTGGCACTTGTGTGCGCTAATGTCAAAGTCGAAGCGATGGAACTGTAGTTAGCAGAATGTGGATTGCTTTTGACACCCCCCTCGGACGAGGCTACAGTATACTGGTAGCAACAGGTTGCCCGCCCTGTGTGCGCCAACTATACAGGTTCCGGTAGCTCTTCCGAAGATTGTCAAATCTCCCAATTTTCCATGGTTGTTCGTTCACATGTCTACACAGTAGAGCCGAGACATCTGATTGGCCATGATCCACTTGGCCCTTTCCGGTCGAAAATCGAAATTTGATTGTAGCCAATCAGCGACAAGTAATTTCGGGTTGACCAATGGGAGAGATTGGTGCTTGTGACTTGGGTCGGAAATTCATTCCAAATCTCCAATACAGTATATTAAGTATTTATCAGGAAAATGTAGCCGAAATAAATCCAGAATCTTGGTCGTGTGTAATGACATTGAAATTCTGTGATTGGCCAACGGCCTTGACTGGCTGCTACCGCTCCACTCCCTCAGATCCCATAAAACCAGCGCCCCGAGTCTTATAGTACCAGCGCCCCCCCAGTCTTATAGTACCAGCGCCCCCCAGTCTTATAGTACCAGCGATAAAACACAACAAGACGGAATAAATAGATATCGGAACAGTAGAAATATTTATACCTGTAAATAAAATAAAATAATCGCGTCTTCCCTATGTACAGTCAGTCGTGTTCCGCCACGAACATGTCCGCAGATTCACTTGAACTTAGTGAAAAAGCTCAAGCGGGAAATGTCGTCGCGGCTGTCGATGGTATCAAACTGGGGCGGCAACGAAGCGGACGCGGAGTTGGACGGGGGGGGTGGTTGTTTGGGGGGATGCTCGTTGGAGAACCACTTTTGGTCCGAAGAACTCGACGGAGCAGACGCGTCGTCGGCCGCGTCCGAGATGGACGCGGCGCTAAAGTCCTTCCACAACTCGTCGGCGTGAAGGGACATGTCCCCGCGCGCAAGGGGAGACTTGATGGACAACGACGGCGACGTGCCGGTGGGAGAAGACGCGGGAGCCATGGGGGTCGATTCTTCGTAGTTGAAGTTCATCAACACCTTGATCGCGTCTTGCAGTCCAGAGTACTCCGCGCCGTGGTCGAGGTCGTTCGTATGATGGTGGGACGCACCAGCCATGGGCGATTTCTTGGGGCCGATCGGGTTGGGTTTGGTAGGGTACATGTCGCTGGGTGACGAGCGAATAAAATTACTGCGACTGGCGTCGCCGAGCCACGACTGCGGCGAGCTCGGGCCGTGGGAGAAGTCGGGGTTGTACATGCCAGGGCCCATGTCGGTAGACGTGGGGGAAAAGTCGGGCGCGTACCCCGACGAGTTGAGGAACGACGGCCCGCCTTGGCCGGTGGGGGACAGTTCGTTTTCTTGCGTGATCCCGCCGCGGAACGAGTTCTTGACGTTTGGATTGTACACTTCCTCTTCGTGGATGAAGCGGCATCGGCTTCCATACGGGCAGTGTCCCGAGCCCCAGTACGACTTACATTTGGTGGTCTTATACTTGGGGTGGCGCAACACGTGGCGAAGTTCCGGCAGCCCATGCGCAAACTGGCACTTGGCGCCGTATCGGCAGCTACCATACTCAGAGAAGCGCTTGCACAGCTCGGTTTTGTACAACGACGGCTTGGCGTTGTTCTTGGGACTCGAAAGTTGCCCCCCCAACGTGTACTGGTCGTCCTGGAGGCCGTCTTGATCGAGGTACTGCGCGTTCATGTCCAACGAGTGCGAGTGCTGCAACGACAGGTGGTACGTCGACGGGGCGGAAGCATGCATGTTGTGGTTCGCCAGGTCCAGATACTCTGAGTCGGCGTCCGCCGCGTGGGAGCTCATCAGGCCAAGGTTTAAGCGTCTCGACTGATGAATGTGATCCATCGCGGTAACGAGCATGTTCCTTCTTCCGCGCTGTTCTTGCTTTACCTGCCGTCACTAATGAAAAAATGAACAATTGCCCCTAATTCGCCCACCTCTCCCACGCTGAAAAACCATCCAAAAAAATTCGAATGTATACAAATTCCAAATATCTTGTCGATATAAATAAATTTACATGGTTCTACTTGATGTTTGTATGTCATCCTTCGATATGCATTCTATCACGCTCCATCCACCAATATTCGAGAGCGAAGCGTACACTCTTGTACGTCGTCGAGGAATGTATCGTACGTTTATAGTAAAATAAAGTATAAAAGATTGTACGATGTACGTTACAATGTACGAAAAGATCGGACGCCAGTGCGACGCCAATAGGCGAAACTTCGGTATTTTAATTCGGTGTAGAATAGGACATACAAATGTTAAGATATTGACGAATATAAATGGTTTCGTAAGTTCGATGGCGACACCTACGTATACAAATACGAAGTATATGGCCCAAGTGGTCGTGATGCGACATGTTGGTGTTGTTAACAAGAGGTTTGTATGTTTTCACGACCAAGTCACCAAAGATATTCTGTAGTGATTCAAAGCCACCAGCTGGTACCTAGGTTCAAGTTTGGGCATCCGGATAACGATGTGGCACAGAACCTACTATGGATGCCTTGAGAGATCAAACATAGATTTAATATGCATTATATATTGTAGATCAATTATGGAAAGTAGTATTACTCTCTGTTGAACGTTGCAATATGTGTAGAATATAGTCATATTTCACTCGTAAATATGCACAGCGTTGGAGAATAAGATCAACTTGACTGTGAAACCGATTGGGGTTGCATGAGATTTCGTGTGGATCACCGCCGAAATGGCGAAACGGAGGCAGAATGAAGTGTTCCGTGTGCGCATGCATGTGCGGATGGCTCACTGTGTCAGGCAGCCATTGATGGCCCTGACCCCAGCATGCTTAATATACCTCTCTCCAACTGGCATCCTGTGTGATGAGAATTCAATACTGCATGGAGATGTAGCCTCGAAAAGAAATCTATTAGATTAAGCAATGGTGCTGATCCAGCTGCTGCCGTCGTCACCGCTGCTGCCGCCGCTCGGCCAATCCCTCGCAGCGCCGCCGCTGCCTCCTATCACAGACCCCACAAGACACACAAAACCTATGAAAGTACAATGCATTACACCAGCCGCCGTGGTCTCGCAGCCCCAACGCTCAGCAAACTGTCGCGCGATGATTATTCGGCGATAGCAGCATCTACTTCCACGGCCTCGTCAGGCGTGGTCCCTTTGTCGTCGATCTTTTCCTTGACTTCGTCGTCGTTCTTCTTGTCATTCTTGATGTCGTGGCTACGGCTGCGGCTACGCGAATGGCTGCGACCGCGGCTTGAACTGCGCGAACGACTGCGGCTGACGCTCCGGCTGCGGCTGCGGCTGGCGCTGCGTCCACGGCCCCGTGGGCTACGGCTGCGGCTGCGCGCGCTGCTACTCTTCTTGCCCTGCGGACTACGACTACGGCTGCGCGCACTGCTACTCTTCTTTGCTGTGTAATTGGCTTCCTTCACGCGAATGACGGCAGTGTATGTGCGGGTCTTAAACTCGACGTCGTCAAACTTGGACACGGCGCGGAGCATGTCTTCCTTGTTGGTAAACTCGACGAAGCCGACTCCCTTCTTGTCGACCTTGGCGAAGATCACGTCACCAGCCTTGCGGAAGAAGTCCTTCACGTCTTGCCACGCTGCGCTTTCCGGCAGCCCCGTGACATCCACCGCATACTTGCCGCTGCCCATGAGGTTGCGGCCAAATCCTTTGTCCCCTCCACGGTCACGGTCTCCACGACCCCCACCACCGTTCGTGCGCTCCACACGCAGGCGTTGGCCGTCGAATTGGTACCCGTCGCGGCCGCGGATCGCATCGTCGGCGTCGCGAGAGTGTTCGAACTCGACAAACGCAAACGCCGGCGGGCGGCTAGGCTGCTTGATGTCGATATCGCGAATGCGGCCATACTTGTAGAAGAGGTCGTCCAATTCGCGGGTGCGAACGTCCATGGGGAGGTTGCCGACATACACACGGGTGCACATTTCTAGCGACGGAATCAATCGAAAATGTGTGGCAACTACGTTGGGGGCGGTTTATCCGTACACTCCTTTATCCGGATCGTCTTTTCGAGATCTCGACACGACGTTTCGAATTGCCAAGAATTGGAAAATGAGCATGTTCAAGTCTGCAGGGAAGGAATGGGACTGACGATGTCGTGGACAAGTGATCGTCGTCGAGGATGTCGGTGTGGAATGGCCTTGAACTACTTAGTTTTGGTAGCTACATCAGCAAATGTGCAACTAGTCGAATCCATGGGTTGGCAAAGTGAATTTCTTGCACGGTTTCAAAGTTACAACCTTGGTCGTTACTCTGTAACTGACGTCACGCCGCTCCCGCCGTACATACTCTTCACCGTCCGCGTTGTTGACAGACTCCAATGAAGTCGATGGAGACTGACAAGTCTGTGGCAGATTTTGTCTCCAAGGCGAGCGCCTCCCGCCCTGTCACCGCCGTGCACCCGACTTCTCCTGGCATGTCATCGTACATGTCGTCGACCGAGCCGAACCTGTTTCACGTGCTTCAGGTTCACGAGCAGCCACCCATCCTCAAACGCACGATACCTACGCCGCACTACGCCAAGGATCTCGTGTCGCCTCAAAAGACCCGGCTCAACTTTTACTTGGACCAGCGCCAACAAGTGCAAACGCACCAGCCCAACCCGCCGCCGTCGTGGTCCCCCATCAGCCCGGGGACGCCTCGCCCCGTTACGGTGTCCTCCCCCTCCCCTCGAGAAAAGGCCAACGTCACCACCCCCCGCGTCGTGCACGTCCACGGAAGGGAACACCTCGAAGTGCGCGCTTGCATGTTGGCCCATCGGTACCGCTTAGATGTCGACCAGCTGGTCAAATCGCACGACGACCACCGACAGTCCGTGGCTGAACTCAAGCAGCAACGCCGGGCCACGTTGCTCCCAAACACTGCGAACGCCCAAGAATCTGCACGCCGGAAGACGCAGTTCCTGCTCGACCATTACTTTGGTGTCCATGACTCAGCGCAACCGTGCATTTCCCCCGCCGCAGCCACAGGGACAACCCCCCCTCTTCGACATCCCCACAAGGCGGCGGCGTCGTCGTCGCCTTGCCCAATGTACGTAGTAGCCCATACACTGTGGCCACCTTGATCGACATTATACTTTGGCTTTTTGGATCTCCCAGTTTATCAGTTGGAGTGTTCCTTGGATAGGACACGAACGCGGAAGTCGCTCGGATCCTCCACGTCCCCTTCTCGCGGTGGTATCAGCGATGGGCACCATGTTTTGCTTGACGTTGTGGACGAGTGGTCCCTGCATGCAGATGCCACAACGTCCGACGTCGAGTCGTTTTGGCAATCAGTCACGGCACACATGGAGTCCTCGTGTACGTACAACCCCCCTATGCATCTGCCTCGTACACATAGCATAGTGTCTAACGATCGATATTGCTGTTAGATGTCATGCAAGCGACCGTGGTGGACGCCGCCCACCCCCACGCCCTCGCCGTGCACATTGCCCTCGATTGTTTAACCAAAGTAGCCGACCACCTTCCCAGCTACGCCCGGCTCCTGCATGTGCTCAAAGTCGTGCTCGAGCGAGCGCTGTACGTTCCAGACCCTGTCACGCCCCCCCCCAACGACAAACCGTCCATCCCACCCCGCCAACTTTACGTGGACCAACTCGCCGCGACTCAAAAGTCCCTGGACGATTGCATGGCCCAAATCGCGGCTCACAAAGCGTCGCAACGGGTCGCCCCCCTCGATAAGATCGCTGGCATCGTCGCGTCTGCTGCCGTACGTGTTTTTGCCTATTGTAAATCAAACAAAGCAAATTGCCCAGCAACGATACTACCAGACACACGACCAAGACGATCCCTTTCTATAGTTGAAATTGAATGCGCCTGTGCTTTCCCTAGAGCGACGCCGAGCGTCATGAGTTGCTGCTGAATGTCGTGGGCCAGCATCTGCCCCAGTCCACCCTTGGCATGGACGTGGTCGTCGCGGCCGCCACGCATGCGTCCGTGTCGGACCAGCTGACCCTCATGGCGTCGGTGGTTGCCCAGCGATCGCTACATGACATGCAGCCTCTGCTCTTAGCCATCCACAACAAGCACAAGCACGCGATGGCCATGTTTATGGAGGATCACGCGGACGCTATGGAGGCGCTTGTGCTAGACGACGGCGGCCGCGGCGTCCAGCGGGTGATGGAAGCCAACGGACCGTTCTTTAGCGACTTGTTCCTCCGTGCGCCGTCGTTGTTAAACAACGCGCTGCAAGTACATACATAGCCCCCGCCCCTATTCCCCTACATAATCTGTTACAATTCGACTATTATAATTGTGGAATAGTCGTTGTTATTGTCCTAGTTCACTGCTATTGGGTGTTACTATTAGACATTCCACTGTTATCGACTGTTATAATTGACTGGTTGATGATCACATCAATTTGTAGGCCCCGACCCTGTTGCTGAGCCAAGTGGTCGAACAGAATCGATCGGCGATTGCCCATGTCTTGGGCCAAAAGCCAGACGTGTTTCTACATGTCTTGGCGACCGCCCTCAAAGACAACAACCTCCTCGCCCTCGAAGAATACTTGGTCAAAACGCCCAAGGCCCTCCGCGACGTGCTCCTGAATCGCCCCACGCTGCTTTCAGGAATCGTCAAGTCCAGTCCAAGTATCTTGACCGGTATCTATCTAGTACTAATAGAAATTTGGTCGATGATGACGTGATCAGTTCGCATCCATGACGTGATCATATATATATATATATATATATATCTACGGTGACAACTCATCGAAACAAATGCAGACGTGTTGGTGAATGCCAAAGCCGCGTTTGCCCGGGTCGTGACCGAAGTCCCAGACCACTTGACGGCAGTCTTTAATGCCCATCCATCGTCAATTGGAACCATGTTTGCTGCGTCGGGCGACATGCTCGGCCCTATCCTCGACCAGTGTCCACAGGTCAGTCGTCACGTATATAGTAGTCGACACACTTGTATCTCATATCCGTGTTGTGGTGTTTTGGTTCTGCTTGTAGGCGCTGACTGCGTACTTGGAAAACGCCCCCGAAACGATCGTGGACATCGCCCATCGCGCGCCGAAGCTCTTGTCCATGCTGTTCGCGAGGTTCCCCGACTTGCTCGTGGAGCCGTTGGAAATGAACCCGACGGTGCTGGCCACGTTTTTAGCTTCACACAAGGAAATCCTCCACGCGATGCCCGTACATGACTTTATGGACGCTAGCAGTGGCGGCGGCCCTTTCCGCAAACTCGCTATGGCCGCCACCCAAACTGGTAGTACTTGTGTTGTGTTATATACGTGTTATATACTATTAATAGTACGTGGTTACCTGTATCTATGTAAATATATTGTGCATTTCAATTGAGTCAACATTCGATTCCATTTGATGTCATTTAAGCTTATACAAACTATACAATACAAGGATTAGTATATAAGGGACTTGGCCGAATCAAACGTTTGGATTGGCAGAATATATGCGACAGGACGTGATTTGATTAGCATAGGCGGTACTTTAATCCGATTTGACAATATTATATGATTCGATAACCGGTCTCTGATTGGCTAAACGAACTATTCGATTTTTTTCGACACATAGCTTTTCTGAAAAATGAACCAATCACATGTCGACGCGAGCGATTTGTGATTGAAATAGCACAGAATTTGGAAATAATCGAGCAAAAGGGCACAATATGATGATAGTTTTTTATGTGTAGAAGCGACAGTGGCCATGCAAAAGCAGGTCGCGAGCGGCGCGTCGAAACTGAAGAAACGCAACAACGTGCTCATGCAGATCGTCAAGAAGCGCAAAGTGAACGCCATGGCCGAGGCCGACGTGTTGAAAGAAATCTCGAAATTGTACGCCAAGAAACTCGTGTTTGACGACATCGACGACCGGTCGGGGTTGGATCGGTATTCCCTCGCCGAATTGACCCAGGTTGTGAGATATAATATAAATATATTTAATCATTTTTAGAAACATATTATATTTTAATATTTAAATTATTTAAATTCTATTTTAAAACATTTGTTATATTATGGATCCAATGGCAATCTGACGCACGGACTAGGATATTTACGTACAAGAGTTTGGCCTAAAAAGCACGGCTCAAAAGCGAATTGCGAGCCTCGTGGCTGGGCTGAAAAAGGTTCGTTGTGCGTTTTCATGGTCAAAATTTAATATCAAATGAACCAATTAATTCTATGTGGGTACTGACATCTATCAGTTGTGTGGTGAAGGAAGGATTTACATCGTATTTCAATGGCATATGTAGATTGACAAGGAGAATTCGAGAGCCAAGTGGTTCAGCGTATTGCTTGGGGCGACGGCCGAGCTGTACAACGCCCAAGCCATCGACGTCTACCTCCAAGCGCTGCAGTTTATGGTCCCGCCAGGGGACGTCGAAGCGCGGCTAGGCGACGGGTCCTCTCCTTGTTTCGTAAGCCAATGACTCACCCTTGTCCACCATATTATGTTGAATGTGTCGTAGTGATTACTCTTGATGTTTGACACTTGTGTAGATCCCGCTGCAGGTTGCCAAGGAGCTGGCCGTCCACGCATATGATAACTCGATACCCATGGACGTGCGACTACAGCTGCAAAAGCGGATCGTGGGGCTGCCGTCGGAAGCGCACGTGCCCGACGCCGTCACGTCCTCCTCGTCAAGTCTGCCGGATGACGGTCTGCACATGGAGGTCAGTTTGGACGACGTTATGGACTGCGTCATGTCCATGTGGTACGAGTACCAGACCAAGTAAGTACAGTACACAAACCACAACCAGGGTCCCTTGGTTGATTGTATATGTGAATCACGAATGATCGACGCTATGATTGGCTAATCCAATTTTGAGTGGATTTGATTGGCTCTTACAGAAACGAGGACAACTATATTCAATAGACAAATAGTTTGGAAGTTTATATTAATAGCGAATTCACAATACATGACGTTGTTGTGTATCTCCGTCGTGGCGATATGGACATCTCAACAGCGTCACTCACATCACACGTGGGATTTGATCTAGTGTGGACAAGGAAATGACCAAGCTGTTTGCAGAAGCCGACGAGGACGGCAACGGCGTGCTGACGTACCAAGGTACATACATATATTAATTATACTGTTATTGTGAATTCACTCGAAACTTCCCAAATTCGCGTGGTTTGTCTAATCAATATTGAATCACGCTGGAGTTCTGATTGGTTAAATATACTTGTCCTTTCTATAAGAGCCAATCAAATATATCCAATCAAAATTAGCCAATGCCGTCGATTCGTGATTCGATTTGGACGTGAATGATTCGATTCGACGGGGTCTGGAAATTTGTACCGAATATACCACAATATTATTCTTGATATATATACATTGGCTTTGTTTCTTGTACATATATGATTACTAAGAATGATCAAAGATCTTGCAACGCTCTTACCCGTGTGGTTGGGAAACATATATAGAGTTCGAATCGATGATCAAAAAGGTCGACGCTGACTGCGACGACCGCACGATCATGCGCATTTTCAACATGTGTGGCGAAGAGAACGATCAAGGCGAGCACGAAATCAAACCGGTACTATTCGGGGTTTGGGGGTTTAGGAGTTTAGGGGTTTCGGGGTTTCGGGGTCACCAACGACGCTACTTCGTCCAAATGGACGATAGATGGCTCACTGACGATCTTTGATGGGGCTGTGTATAGTCGGACTTTGCGACGGTTATGCGGGCCTACCACGTCAACAACAACCAAGAGATGACCCACGGATGAATGACGAGATGATTACTGTATATTGTGGACCCACAAGACGCTGGGGCATCTTGATTTTAGGGATGGGGTGCTAGAGTTTGCAGCTGCAGTGATAGCAGCATCAGGCGCTCGAATTCCCCATAGCTTACCTATCCATCATATGTAGAAATCGGTAGAGCCACCCCCCAATGCTCAATATATATTGTCCAGATATATTATTTCATGTTTTTACCTATGTTTGGAACATATATATTTATAGAAAACAAATATCAAAGCATTCTTAAAAGGGAAGAACGGGCAATGAACCAGAATGGATGGCGGAGTACGTACTTTATCGTCGTGGTTGGTGTCGGCTTCGCGAAACAGTTGATGCACCACCGACGGTGTCATGTGCGGTGCGATGGCCTGGCACACCTGGAAATGCCACGAGCATCATGTCATGGCCGTGCAGGAAGAAGGACGATACCTGTTTGAAGTTGGCTAGCGAGATGAACCCCGACGAATCTAGGTCGAACGCCTTGAACCATCGACGAATGCCCTCCGTGACGTCGATGTTAGCCACGCGGCGCGTCATGACGCGGACAAATGTGTCTTTTTCGACTTGCATGATCTCGTACGAAGCCGGAGCGATCTCAAAGAGCGATAGAAGCACCAGCTACGGACCACGAGTGTACTCCTAAGTCGAGACTGACTTGAAACGTACTCGGCTCGGTGCACTTCCCAGCAACGCCGTCACCGCCCATTTGAGCTCGCTCTTCGTCAAGTAACCTGCCGACAGCATTACTATGATTGAAGGGCTGGATCTTAATGTACCTTTGTCTTGTGCATCGTACCGCCGGTAGCACTCCTCGATTGTCGGTGTCGTGCGAAGCATGCAAAAATACTGTGCCAGATTACGTTGAATATCCGGAAGGTGGACGATTTCCGGATATACCATTCAGAATACCCCACTGATGGACTGTTTAGAAATATTTTGGTGTTGAAATTCATGCATTATTCCGCAGCTCACAAGCACATGATTCCTTACCAGTATGTTTATTCCGCACGCAGAAAAATCTTATATGTACAGCGAAATCGTCTAAATTTAATCCGTGTTCATGGTCGTGTCCGTGCAATTTTTCTCACGGGCGCGAGCACGGATCGACTGTGTTACTCCGGTCTTCAATACTACTCCGAGTAACGTGGCTAGTAGTAAACCTCTGCATGTTTTGATCTGAAGGAGGACTGTGGGGCTGTTTCCGGATATACCATTCAAAATACCCCACTGATGGACTGTTTAGAAATATTTTGGTGTTGAAATTCATGCATTATTCCGCAGCTCACAAGCACATGATTCCTTACCAGTATGTTTATTCCGCACGCAGAAAAATCTTATATGTACAGCGAAATCGTCTAAATTTAATCCGTGTTCATGGTCGTGTCCGTGCAATTTTTCTCACGGGCGCGAGCACGGATCGACTGTGTTACTCCGGTCTTCAATACTACTCCGAGTAACGTGGCTAGTAGTAAACCTCTGCATGTTTTGATCTGAAGGAGGACTGTGGGGCTGTTTCCGGATATACCATTCAAAATACCCCACTGATGGACTGTTTAGAAATATTTTGGTGTTGAAATTCATGCATTATTCCGCAGCTCACAAGCACATGATTCCTTACCAGTATGTTTATTCCGCACGCAGAAAAATCTTATATGTACAGCGAAATCGTCTAAATTTAATCCGTGTTCATGGTCGTGTCCGTGCAATTTTTCTCACGGGCGCGAGCACGGATCGACTGTGTTACTCCGGTCTTCAATACTACTCCGAGTAACGTGGCTAGTAGTAAACCTCTGCATGTTTTGATCTGAAGGAGGACTGTGGGGCTGTTTCCGGATATACCATTCAAAATACCCCACTGATGGACTGTTTAGAAATATTTTGGTGTTGAAATTCATGCATTATTCCGCAGCTCACAAGCACATGATTCCTTACCAGTATGTTTATTCCGCACGCAGAAAAATCTTATATGTACAGCGAAATCGTCTAAATTTAATCCGCGTTCATGGTCGTGTCCGTGCAATTTTTCTCACGGACGCGAGCACGGATCGACTGTGAATTGCGAAATCTCCCTAAGTAATGAGTGTTACCCCTATCTTCAATACTAACGTGGTTAGTAGTAGACCTTTTTGATCTGAAGGAGGACTGTGGGGGCTATTATATACAGCTGGCTGACACTCAAGTCATTCATCTACTTCCTGTACTACAAGTACTACTCTAGTAGTACTGTACAGTATGTACCCCCTATGCTCTAAAGCGCAACAACATGGAGAAGTGAAGTGCTTTCTTGCCGCTTACTTGCACTTTGCTTCCCATCCGAGCGGGTTAAGTTACTGTAAGTTACACTGTAGTCGCGAGGGCCGCGTAATCAACCTATTCTATATCGTGAGTACTGTAGTATCGGTACAATAAAGTTTGGGGTCGCAGAGATGACGTAAAGTTGGAACTATCCTTGGAATGCGATTGGCAACAATCATACACACAACATTATTTCGCGAAAACACGGGCGGCGGAATGATCGCCATGAAAGGGATATCCGGATAATGTATCCGAACGACGGGACAGTGGTTAACCACGCTCCAGTCATATTTCGATGGATATTGTTGGACGCAGAATGATTTGATGATGCCCACCGCTAGACGTGGACTACTCTTCCCATTGCACCTGGATAACACAGCACCCATAAGTACTGTAGGTACATCCTCGCTTCGAACGATAGCACAGTTCAATGACTTTGCACGCCAAACGGCGGTGCAGGCGTGAAAAACTCATCGTTCTTGCTGTACGTACTCAGTGCAATATTCCCCTCCCATCGACATGTGTAGATTGCGTTGCGGGGAACAGAACATTGTGGTCCTACCACCAATTTGTTTTTGTACTTCGAAGTACCTTTTGCGGTCAGCAGTCGACAGACAGTTGTCACTGGACGGACGACCCTCGAAATAAGTGTGGGATGGCAACTAAATAGCTCACCGCATATATTAATAACTAACCTTGCTCACATCACGACGAAACGGCATGGATGGCAGTATGAACCGTGGCCGAGATGAAGCGCTTGCAAGCTTTCTTTACGTGGCATAAAGCGACGTGGATGGCGTGCTGAACTGCAATGCGTTCTCAAATGTGTGTTTATTTCACAACCATGCACCGCTCCGATACGGGTTGTGAAGTAAATTGGTGTGAACATTTGAGATTGTGAAGATGGGCCATATATCAGCAGGGGCAGAATTATTAACGTGGGTCACTTGACAGCGGGGAGCAGGAATAATGTGGTTCCCCTAGAGTACCGGCATGTAGTGACTTCAGAGGAGTTGTGCGTACAAAGGTAGGAACCACGAGATGCAGCTCACTATGTTTACCATGGGTCATATCGATAGTTTTCTTGGCAACTTACTGCGGTGACCAGTAATCCCATCGGTCCAGTGACTTACCATCAGGTACGGGAAAGAAAGTTACTGTACGTAAAGTTGCCAGAAACATTCCCTCTTTGTCAATAGCTTATTCGCACGAATGTCCTCCTCACTGCGTTCTGACGTCCTGGATGTACAACTCAACAGAGATTGGGCGACCGATACGTCGAGCTCGTTGGCAATCAACGCGGCTATACTGTACAAGTCGTTCGCGAAAGTCATTTCTATCTTTCGAAGTTGATTACGATCCCACTACCCCACGCGAATTACCCATTCACAAACCAATACTAGTAACAGTATAGATAGTGTGGTACAGTACACTCTCTGCCACGCCACGATATCAAAAGGAGGCTCTGTACGCCTTCGGATTTGGGCTTACGAAGCGATCAAGCATGCTGCAGATAGACAACTTACGTACGGTATGCATTGACTTGGTGGATTTTACATTCGGGTTCTTACATTTAACGCCCCCCCGTGATGCTCAGCCCCAGCTGGCAAAAACGCCATTCATAAATTTGTCCCACCCTCACTCATTACATTATCATATGTATCTTTGTGATTGTATGTGGTAACTAATACTAACTCGAAAAGTGCACTCGGATCATTCTTGCTTTGTCCCGCGGGGGCGCACCCACCATCGCCAACACGATTCAGTTCTCATTGGCCATGCTGCTACACCGAATGCCCCACTCTACACTTGCACCTTCCGCCATGGTCCCAGCCTTGGACGACGCAGTATCGTATTGCGCAGCATCCCCTTGCTACCGTTTTGCCAAAGACAGCGGCCTGTGTCTCTTCCACGCAGCTACCATACAGCAGCATGCCACCTCGCTGTGTCAGTACCGCCTTTCCAGTGCTATCATGTCACTCCAGACGCCTCCGCTTTCATCTGCCATCACCACTCCCCGTCGTTACCATGACCTCACAAGCTACCTTCCGTCCCAATCCTCCAGTGGCCGGTCATCCCCGCACTCGGACATTGTTCGCGTCAGCCGCAAACTGTGCCAGGTTGAACAATGCACAAAGCGCGCCAAGTCCGGGGGTCTTTGCATTTCGCATGGCGGAGGGAAACGATGCGACGTCGACGGGTGTGTGAAGAGCGCCAAGGAGCGCGGCTTCTGCATCTCGCACGGAGGGGGCAAGCGCTGCCTCGGGGAAAGATGCAACAAGTCGGCGTTGCTGGGTGGCTTCTGCGCGCACCACGGCGGCGGCCGCCGCTGTGGACACGATGGCTGTACCAAGTACGCCCTCTCCGGTGGGTTCTGCATTGCGCACGGCGGAGGCAAGCGCTGCAACTTTCACGCGTGCCCCAAGAGTGCCGTGAGTGGCGGGTACTGCGTGGCTCACGGTGGCGGCCATCGATGTGCCACCGCCGGGTGTATGAAGGGCGCGGTCACGGGCGGACTGTGCATCAAACATGGCGGAGGCAAGAAGTGTCTGCAGACCGCGTGCCGAAAGAACGCTCGCACCAAGGGATATTGCTTTACCCATTTTAAAGCGATGGAAGCCCTTGTGGATGGCCACGAGGACGAAGGAGACGACGGCGGGGTCGTCGAGCTGTGACTGTCATGAAACGAGCTGTTAATTTAGTATTTACGTAGTATCCACTTTTTGATCGTGATGCGTACGTAAAAGGGACGCAAGCTTAGCTTTGTGGAGTGGATATCATCATGCTCAAATCAAGAATTGGTGCGATAATAATAGCGTCGAATGTGGCGCGAAACACCTTTGCTAACATTACGTTAACGTTATTCTGGACTAATCCTGGTTAATCGGGGAATTGATTAGATAAGACTCCGCACACATATATACAAAAAAACAAGTAACCTGGGACTTCGTCCTACCCCGGTGGGCACTGAAATTTCGAAGTTACTTCAAAGTTTAATATTAATTGCGGGATTAAGCGCATCACAGCGGCTAGCTATCGCAACCACTGAGACGCCTTAACCCATAGCTGACATGCGTAGCTGGCTGGTGCTATGATGTAAAACTTCCAACTGGGCAAATCGAACAGTGGAGGTTTTACTATTTAACGTACAATTAATGTTGTTAAACCCAAATACGTTAAATACCAATTTCATGCGTTTTATCACTGGAGTGGGAGGTTAAAGGTCTCAACTCCCTCCGGATATTATATACGGATAAGAGTCACATTCAAAAATCAAGATACTGCTTATAGTTTGACCAAAGAACAATGTAGTCTCAAAGGTTTTTTGCTGCAGTATACAATTTTCTCTATAATACAAAAAACGCGTAGCAGAAAGAAAAAAATTGACCAAAAACGTGTTCTTTGGACAAAGATATAATTTTACAATTGACAGTAAGTAGATAAATCGAGTTTCAATGCAGTTTTTACCTTTTGTATTGTATGTAAACATAGATCCACAATACAATGTGTCTGAGGAACATCAGCACAGAAGAACATTATCTTTTAGAGAGTTTCTCCATTTTGCCCAATCGCCGCAGGCCATAATTGATGTCAATGACAGCTCATCTTCCCTTCATTGATGGGTCTCAAGTGTCGTTGCCATCTCCCGATGGAAGTAAAATGGACTGTGGGCTCTCAGGCGTATTCAGGCTCCAATTGAGTCGATAGACATCCAGCAGTTAACACTATTCCGTGTAATTGAGACCTTGATGCTACAGCATCGCATCAATAACAGATAATACCACATGAAAGAAGTCCATACATTAAATAAAGTCTTCTCCATAGCACGAAGACTACGTTACGATTCTAAAAGGTGGGATGCAAAGTCACCAAGGCATGCAACAACTTCGACGTCGCCAGCTGTGAGGGTTGCCACGACCTTCTTCGATAGCGTCACTGCGAGTTCAACCGACTAATCGCATCCACCCGTCCATACAACATCATAACCGCCTCATGAGCCGTCACAATCCCCTCGTACTTGGTGTTGTCGATGTCTTGCATACGGACCCCGAGAAACTCTGCGATAGCATACAGCGCCTTGCCCAGGGTACAACACTTTGAGACTCGAACATGTGACGTTTGCGCCTTTTTGTCTTCGGTCGTAAACTGCACCACAGGTTTGAATAGGTGCTGTGTCGGTGATGGAAAATGATAATATCGTTGCAGCATTTTCCAACTCGTCGCTTTTGGAAGCACAGACGATTGGATCGGCAACACAGGATCGTTGTAAGCGGATCCAACCATGACATGGGAGCTACAGGGTGTGTCTGAGCGTTGTTCGAGGTGAACAGGGAGGTTTCTTGGGGGGCAAAATGACCAAGCAGGCGTGCTTCCATGTCACTAATACGGGCCATGACACGAGCTTCCAACACTGGATCGTTGCTGGTAGGTCCAACCACGACGTTTGGGGTACTCGAAGGATTAATGCGTGGTTCAATGTGAAGAGGGAGGGTGCTCGGGGGGTCAAAACGATCAAAACGATCAAGGAGGCGTGCTTCCATGTCGTCGATTCGGGCCATGACACGACCTTCCATGCCCTCAAGATACGACTTGTACACGTTCGCCATAGCTAATTGCCCCCCGTCCTCGTTCGGTGCAACCAGTTCCGAGAGCTGTTCATGAGTGCTGTAGATCCACGTGGTCGGGCAGCCGGCTAAGTGCTTCCGGTCCGGGGATATCGCGTCAGCAAGTACTTCTTCTTCGGCAACATAAATGCTATCGAGAAGGTATTTCATGATGACATCGCACATGTCTTGCTCCGACCAACCACCCCACCACTTCAACATCTTCGAACTCCAACGCTTGTCTTTGTCCTCCTGAAAGAACTTCCATTGTGCAAAAAGACGACGGAACGTATGCGTTGTCATGTATACGTTTTCGAAGCATTTCAGCACTGCACCGTGGGCTGTCGAGCAAAAGTCGACGTCACGGAGCATGGTCGCGATAACTTCGTTCAAGATATTGATGACATATCCCTCCGACATGGCATGACCCCAGTTGAATACGGACGCAGACAGGTTTGAGTACTTTCGTGACAACGGTATTTGGGGGAACACAAGGTCCTCGTTGAAGTTGTGCTTCATCGCAGTTTGGACGTGTTCGATCCACGTGTCGAAGTGGTGCTTGGCACAAATATCACTATCCCACAGCTCTTGGCAATGGTGCAAACGATATGTGCGGTCATTTCCGGACTCGGTTTTTCGATATACTCGTGGTACTCGAGACGCACGTTGGAGTCTTGTTGACTGGTCGTGGACTTCGCAAGGGAAAAGTCTTTCCCGCATAGACCAAGGACTTCACTCATTCTGGCGCACGCGTACCAGCTCAGCGAAGTGACAGTCTTGAACCACAGATTGAATGATTTCGATGTGTCGTTGGAACGGTCCAAGAAAGCGTACAGGGTCTTCAGCATCGGTTTTGTCATGGGGGCGGCACGTCGCGTTACGTGAGTCGCCTTCTTTTCCATTTGCAGGCCCTTGAAGCAACCCAGCACAACAGGAGACGTCATGAGATTTCCATATCCCTGACCGTCCTTGACACACCACGAACTGGTTCCATATCCATCGTTGTTGTACTTATAGAACTCCGATATTCCTGCGCGAGCCTTGTTGGCAACGTTCATGGAGGGTGAGTTTCCCGCATCGTCCGGCAGCATGAGCTGATCCACGTAACAGCAAATGGCTTCGGGAAGCCGCGTAAACCGCGTCAATGGTGGATCGTGGGCGTACTCTGGATTGTCTTGCCACCATGAAACGAACTTACTCCAGTTTGAGTTGTTCTCTTTCTTCGTGTTGAGGGTGACACGCTTGTCAACCATTGCTTGACTGAAGGCCATTACTTTAGCTCAGTGCTCGCTGTCGTAGTTCGTTGGCCGTTTTCCTTTGGGTGCTGTTGTTGCGCAGCGCTCCTTCCTTTCGGGCGCTCTCGTTGTCGTTGCTTTGGATGCTTGCTCGTCGTTGTCCATGATCCCACCGCCGTAACCGATACACTCGTTAACACTCGTTGACGCGTTACCTACATTTGTCGGCGTCAAACATCTACTTCGGCGTCAAACATAATACTCCGGTGTCAAACATAACACTTCGGCGTCAAACGTCTATTTTGGCGTCATACTTCTTACGCGGCGTCGCTGTCATGCTAACATTTTGGCGTCGAACAATTTACTTCGGTATTACGATTCGGTGTCAAACATTACGATTCGGCGTTAAATACTAAACTTCGGCGTCAAACATTCTGGTTCGGAGTGAGTATGACACTACATGGAACTTCAGAATGCAAGGCCTACCGAAGAAAGCAAACGTTGCACTCCTAAATTGTCCAATAGAATTGGGTTGTGAAAATAACGGTACATGATTGGTGGATATTTTTATTCACAGTAGAAATCACATTTTTTTAAATACGAATCAATTTTTATTGCTTCAGTCAACTTACATCTCATAATACTGTATAAGATCACGACTATATATTATTATGTCTTGCACAGACAATGTTTCAATTATTCTGCACCCCATCGTTGGTGGTGCCCCGCCATGATGAAGGCCACGACTCCCGACACGACAAACAACAGTTCTTCCTCGTGTCAAGTGTCGTGGTCTTCACTGTGGCGGGTGTAGTGGTGATCTTCGCCGCATCATCCGCCGTGGCGGTGTCGGCGGTTGTGGTGGTGTCGCGTGTGGTGGTCTCGATCTTATCTATGTAGGGTGTTCTATTCAGTCGTACACGCTCATAATTGCCAAGTGCTATTACAGTCATGTCGTTACGAGCTATTCGAACTACCATTTCTACGAGTATGTGAACGAGTAATACTACTAGCCCTCGCAGGGCCAGCATCAGCTTGGACACGCAGCTTACTCTGCGATGGCCCGGGCCGTCGCTCGAGAGTATGCGCGGAGGGAGCACAACGATTGGTTGATTTCTCGGCACTCTTGCTGCTCATCGTCCGTCTACTGGATGTCACTGTCCGTGACGCGGCCGGCGTGCTTGGACCCGGCCAAGTCGACAAACCCGACGGCAAGACGCGGTCGCTCACGTGCTCCATCTGGAGGAGGGCGTGCGACCGGCTGCTCGCACGGTGGACGTTCGAGTTGCCCGTCGCCCGACTCACTGTCAACGACTTCACAGTCAATCATGTTTAAAGAATCGACCCCGTAGTATAATAACATTATACATTGCTTGTTATGAGTCGTTATCACATAAATCCACGTACAACCGGTAGTACTCGGTACGAATATCATACACTCGTAACAGTGTATGTACAATTGTATAGAACCAATCATAACAAAACTATGGGTACTGCGTGTTTCAGTGACCTGTCGAAAAAACTACAATTGATTTCATGCCCGATATGTTTCTAAGCTTGTTTTGACGCATAATATAATTACCTCCACAATACAAAAGAATGAACTTGAAGCGCTGAATATTATTTCGAATGATGAACCTGATTGGCAGGAATTTATTTCGTACTTCGAAGTTCGATAGCTAATCAAATGACCTTATACTTGATCCCACTCGAAGAAAAAGTAGGCCTTGCATTCTGAAGTTCCCTGTATGTGTCTTAAACGTATGGCAGATGTAGACTAACTTGCTTCAGTGGCGCGGAGAGTTTGGGTTAGGACTTGGCCTTCACAACTATGGAAGAACGTGTTACGTCAACGCTGTTTTACAGTGCTTGTTGCACCTTCCTCCCGTGGTTCAGTCCCTCCTACCACCGTACCAGCCTGTCCTGATCACACAGTTCAGCCCCCAAGACTGCCTAAGCAGGATCGTTCATGACATCCACGTAAACGATCCAACGAAACGCCGCAAGACGTAGCCAAACGGGTATCGAATGGACGAGTTGCACAGTCACCTAGCTGACGTGTGGCTGCCGTTTGGTGCTGGACGCCAAGAAGACGCACACGAGTTTTTTTTTCAGTTCGTGTCAGCCATGCCCATGTGTTTACCAGCTTTCGGTGGCGAAGTGTTCAACATTGTTGAATGTAATACTTGCAACACCCAGGCCAGGTAAAGCAAATTATCAAATTATCATTAGCTTAGGGTGCGTCTGGTAACATTTCAAAAATAATATTCCATTTTATCGCAAAATGGGATAAACCAAAAATGCCATTTTCAAAATGGAGGTAAAAGGTCCATTTTGTAATGTGGCGTTTTGAACCTCTTCAACGAGTAAATCCCACGCGGAATTATTGGATTTGGGTTAAAACTCTTCAAACAAGACATGTTTCAATATGATCAGATTTATTGACTTCGGCCCCAAAATGGCGTTTTGGGCCTGAATATTGCAATATTTCCGGTTACCAGACGAACCCTTGTTAATCTAGTACTGTAGATCGTCTGAGGTATTTCTCGACATCGACATTCCAGTCACTCCAGACGTTGTCACTGTTGAGGACGGCCTAAGAAGAGCGTTTGGTGTCACCGCGTTAACGGGCGATAACTCGTACGAGTGCGCTTATTGCAATCGCCGATGCCCAGCTGTGCGTACAAGTGCCATTGCAGAGTGGCCCCATGTATTAGTGCTGCGTGTCCTACGCTTCGCGGTCGGTGAAAAACGCACCATAAAAAAGAACGGCCAGCCCATCCAATACACATCAGAGCTGAACATGAGTGAGTTTGCCACTGTGGATCACGCGGTACAGTGTAAACCACAACGATCGATAGATTACTAAAATACTTGATCGATAGATTACTAAAATACTTCCATAGGATATTGTGTACGAGCTTCGAGGAGTTGTCCTACATCTGGGGAGTTCACTGACTTCAAGTCACTACATTGCGTACGTGCTGGCACCAAGTGGGCGATGGTTCAGTATGGACGACAAGGTCTGTATGTCCACGAATATACCCTCGTTGCTTGCGACAAACGCATACATACTGTTTTACACGGCAAAAGAGTCCTACAAGTGACCCCCCACTGGCTACACAACATGCTACATCTCAAGTACAAGGTACATCGACACTTTATGCAATGTGCGTTCAGAACACTCTCTAGACCACGAGCCATGGCTACCAGACCCAACGTACACTTCATCACCAGTGGCGCTACCACGTTCGTACCATAAATTGAAAATGTATGATAGTAATTTGATTCAATGGAATAGCTAAATCGGCAGCACGTCCAACGCAACGCAGCCCCTAACGCAGCCCCTAACGGCAGTCCCCAACGTAGCCCCCAGCGTATCCCGGAAAGCAATCCGCATTATAGCCCGCAATATGGCGGTCCCAAGACCGCCCTCAAAGCACCTCACAACGTAGTCCCCAACACAGTCTCCAAGGCAGCCCCCTGTGTAGCACACGAAATGTTAGTGTGCCAAGTAGCTCACGTTGTAAGATTCTATGTATTTTACACCAGTATTGCAAAATTTATATTTAACATGATATATATCCTTTAGCATCACCGACATCAGCATTTACTACCCCATCGGCTTCTCATGCTCATGTGGTGGCACGTCGAAAAGCCTACTACGAAAAAAACAAGGCAAAAATTCGTCAACAGCAACGCAAGTACGATTCAAACGAGGATGTGAAAAATGGCGTAAAGTGCTCCAGAACGTGAACATGCCAGACGTGCATCGAACACGTTAACCTCCCAAGCGAAGTGGCGACAGAAATACCCTGAAAAGACCCGACGCTTGCGTCGACAAAGGTATTTGAGAGAGAAGGCAAAAAAGGAGGCTCTACGTGGACTACCAGTTAGTGCTTCCCCTGCTTCTGACGTAGCTCCATAAGTGTATAATGCTAAAAATGGTTTGTTTGCATACAAATGTTAAATGCATACACAGTTTGGTTTGTGGTGTTGGATAGCAACGTACCAGGAAGTGGAATCTGCAACCATGTACGCATGTTGCATTGTAAAGGTTTCCGTTGCTTCATCACGGTGTCAACCGAATTACTCTGGCCCATGCAATGCCCACAAGACCCACGGAACATGGCGCCTTCATTTGACAGCAGCTTACTGCGTGTGCACGACAGAGAAAGGGTGGACGCCTTGAAATGATTGTTGTTGTCAGTGGACAGGCGTTGAATACTGTACCGTAGACCTAACCCCATAATATTGGCCAATCAAAACCATGTTCTTTGACGTTTTCACCATGTTCTCCAGGAAACGATACATCTCAGCGGTCACCCTATGTAAAATACCGCTAGGTTAAATATCTATTTCTGGACCAATTCATCACTAAATTTGAATCTGAGACGTAGAATTTCTTCACCACATTGAGATCTGTCGATTCTACGTCTCAATTTGCTGAAATTTTGAGTATCTGCAACAATCCTCACAGTGTCAGTTCATACGTCCTAATTGGCTGTTAAAATTAGCTCAGAATTCCCCCATTAAAGGTTTACAAGTAAGATATACCTTAACGCATCGAAATCCCGGACGACATCGATATCGCGAACAGTCCTATTTTGGCCAATAGGTGACCGCCATGAAGGAACGATCAAAATCTATTCGCTATGATAATATTCACACCTTCTTTATGGCTGAATGAATTTCACTCTGAATCCCTCATCCCCCGATTTTTGCAGCCTACATAAATGTATCGACTTTGTTTTACTTCATTAAAGTATACTTCTTAGAAACAAAACCTTCTAAATATAATATATTTATCATATTATAGAGATTTATAATGGGTGAAATCGTCAGTTGTCAAGCAGCCTTACTGAAAGAAGTATTTTTGTCGAGCCCAGACTCGCTGTACGGGTAAACCGTCAATACATAACATGTAGATATTATTGTCCTTCTCACGCAAATTTGGACTGTTCAGTCCAAAAGTGAGACCGTTTTTGAATGAACTTTGCAATGTATCTTGTACTACTCTGGCGCAGAATAGTTGTCGCCTCCATTTTCACTTGATTTATGTATGCCAAAACTTGAGTTTTCTGAATAAACCTGTCTAATTGGATATGAAGTATCGGATTATATAGGTAAATACACCAGAATCGGGTGATGGCAGGTCGCTTCCGCGATGGCTTGGTGACGCATGGCTGTATGTCAGCTCAGAGATATGGTGCGAGCACGCTTTCAAGGAATGACATGTAGCATTCAATCTATAGGTTCACTCAGCGGAGTACGAACTCTCGAAGAGTTCCCTAGTAGAAATAAGAGCATGGCGCGGACACCGCCGTCCTCCCATCGTTGGTGGAGCTACTGGACTACACACAGGCCAAAATGCGTTGCGCGCCAGTGAGAAGCTTTCGAAGAGATGTATAATGCTACAGGAATCGAAGTGAATGTGAACTAACGACGTCTTCATAGCCTGGCAGATGAAGCACCACATTTTGTTCTTCGCGTGCCGCAGTTCTGACGTCGTACCATCAAAACTACGACGAAATGAGAGGACCTGGAAATAGCCAATCAAAGAGGAGATCCCACCCTATCGATTGCACCAATCAGAAGCAAGAACGGTGAGGTGTTACAAAAATTCCACCAATAAAAAATCGAACGTGACAACTATTGTGCGCCAGATTAGTATTCACTATAGTACAGTGCGAGTTCAATCTGCAACGTTTCTCTTTTTAGAAAACGTATTGATTGGCTGAACCATTTAGAAATCTTGAAAAGAATGGATTTTGATTGGCTAGTTCATTCTCAAATCGATTTGCCAAGTCTATTCGATTCTACTGGCGACTCCAATTACGAACCGACTTGACAATATATAGAATTGGAACTAGTTACCAAGAGATGGTCAAATTTTACGATATAGTATCGGCACCAGAGAGTGCACTATGTTCTTCTTTTTTTCGTGATGAGCTACAAGTCTACAGGCAAGTCGACAACGTCTGTAGGCTTGCAGGGGACAGTTAAATCGATAGCCATACACATTAGACCGTGAGTGCACATGTATACACACGAAATTGAAGGCGTGGCGGGTCGATTTGTGCTTTCGGAAATGACGCGAATCAAATTCTAGGTTATAACACAGAAACTATATCGAAATTTGATGCGAATCAAGTAGCCAATCAAAGAGGAGAGATCGCTTTTGACGAGCAGTTGGTGAGTATGGATCTTCATCGTCGTCCCCTTCAAGCTGCTCTTCGTACAGCCACAAGTTACGTACGCTGCGCTTGAACGGCGCCATCACCCTGACGTCAGGTGGTTGGTATACCGAGGTTGCGTTCGGCGGCAGCGCACAAAGGTGGGAACCAAGTTCTTCATGCATGATCTTTCTTGTACGACTCATCCGAGACGTGGCACTTAAAGTTGTCCATTAGAACCACCGATGGCTCTTCGATGGAACTGCCAAGGACATCTCGTAGGTACTGTTTCCACACCACCGCATCCATCCACACATTCTCCTGCATCGCGTAGTGATGGCCACGAGGAAACGTAAGGAACTCGTTGGTTTCGATGCGCACCCCGCGTACTCCCTTCATGATCTATAGCAGGGGCAACTTTTGACCGTCCGATCACGCCTTGAGGACCGCTGTCATGCCCATCGAATGCTTCTCCCCCGTTGAGATCTTAGCGCTGCCGCCAGGAACAGCCCAAATGTACGTTGGAGGGAGGTTGTAGTACATCCATGTCTCGTCGACGTTGAATACGCAGTCGTTCTCGTAGGATTGGTATTCCCGATGGAAGTCGCGGGCGAACTCGTCGTGGACTTCACAGTGGGCGGAGCCATCGAGGGGTCTTGGCGTCGTATTGGTCGGAATATTTATCCGATTTCATCGGGGTTTTTTCGTATCGACAGAGTCCCTATAAATGCATGACCTGTCTACACAGCAGAAGTAGCTGGCCGGCGAACTCCATCTCCATATGAAATAAGAAAAACCTACACTTTTTAGGAGTACAGGGTTTCATCACAACAAAATTTGTCACTGTCACAATCGTTTCGTCGCTCTCACAAGAAATTTGGCGCGGAATATAACCGATCGTGTGGTATAGTGTTTTCGAGTTATAATGTTTGCAAGGGTGTTTGATCCCAAAATTCAGACAAGATCGCCAGCTGTGATTAACAACTGCGATAGTGAAACGTTGATGAAACATGAAATACATAATACAAAAAAGGTTACATGTTACACCAGTGCCATCTCAACTTGGAAGTCGGGGTGCAGGAGGATCTGTTCAACTTCATGGGGGACTGCGTCTTGGATATCTTGGATCAATACTTCGTCGTTTGGGACTCCACCATATTGTAATCCTCGACCACGCCCGAATCCACGGCCAAAACCTCGCCCACGCCCACGGTTGCTTCGGTTTACGATGCGACGAATCTTCCTTGGCATACCCGGAACCAATCGCCCAAGTGCTTCCGACACTGCGACTAAATGAACGCACACACCAGAACGTCTCCAGTACTTGCAATCACAAGTCATGTCATCCACATCAACTCGCCACCCTTGCTGAGGTTGGTTTTGAAGTTCGAGCCGTTGCAGGTTGCGATTCATGTAGTTGTCAGCAGCAAGTTCAATGGGCTGATGTATCCCTTCGATGATAACATCGTTGTCATCATCGTTTTGACTCTTATGTAGCACGCGCAGTATGTGAGCACCTTCGTGGTCGTCGGGGTCGGAATGTACTTCTAGAAGTTCGAGTGCAGCAATCTT